GGGGAGGGGTTGAATCCTGCCGATGTTGGTGACCTTAAATTATTAATGAGATGCAATCCAATGCGATATATCATATTCTTGAACAAAAAAAGTTTTATTTTACCTTCTCTGTGTCCTTACCGGATCCTAACCTCTGTGTTACAAGATTGTGGTGAGAAAAAAGTGCGTTAACATCAGTAGCTTTCCAAATTGCTGACTTTGCCCTAATTTTTGGATCTCTGATCTAGAAGGGACTTGCATAGTTGTACTGTACTGAAGAAGGCTATTAGAGATTAAGTTCTGAGAATGACCCAGATGGTGGATTCTGCAAATCTTATTTTCCATTGTATTAGCTTCGTGCAACATTGTTAGTTTCTTCTCCTGATCTAACAATCTCTGCCTGTGGAGATGTTACTCCTGCATAAAGTTTGGGATTTGCCGCTCTACTTTGAGATCAATCTTCATACACTTGTATACAAGGTAACTTATTGCTGCTGAGGGATATAAAACAGGCAAAATGGATCCAATTAAGATACTGAAAACAAATACAGATGGAGCTTCGAACTGTTCTGTAAGAACCTGGAGCAAGCTGGGTAAAAGGCCGGTGCAGAATGCAGAGGGATGCTTCCTCTCTCAGTGATCTTCAAGCCTGTGGCTAAAGTACGAAGCTGGATTTGACCTGCATGTATCTGGAGCTGTCGTCTCACTGCTTCAAAAGGGTATATGACTATATGGCTGCTTCAGCAGTCAGCACAGGATATGGCTCCGTACAAGCGAGTCCTGTTGGGTTCCAACACGAGCCGGTCCAGAGCATTGATGAGCTCTGGACCCTGCTGCTTCATGTCTTTTAAGTCCTGATGGGCTGATTTAAGAATGTTGCAGACACTGTAGAACACAGCATCTGATGAACCCAAGTTTACTCACAGGACAACCTCTTCTTCCCCCTCCAAATGGGATATTACTCATTCGTTCTTCCCTTTTTGAAGTGGATACCAAGAACCTCTGGGTGCGAAACTCATCAAGACTAACTTTATAGTTTTCACTTATGCATACATGCTACGTCAAGTACATACAAATAGTTTGGGAGACAAAAGACCAGCAAATTAGGATAAAATCTGTTTATAGAAGGATTAATGAGCGTTTTCACTGCGCCTATATATATGTAACTTATCCATATCTAGTATTGGATCATTTCCTGGTACAATATGGAAGAAGATCTAGAGAAACAGAGGAAGCATAGCCTTCAAATTACTTAACATAGGAGGCTAAGTAAACTTGAAGAAGGCTTGAAGAGGTCCATAGAGTCGTGATCATGTGGTGGGTGCATGAACTTGCAGTTAGGGCACACTGGAGCTGATTTGCATAGCATAACCAGCATGTGACACTTCTTACACACTGTTGCTACCAGCTCTCTCTTCTTCTTCTTCTCATCTTCATCCTCTTCACCCTCAAATGAAAGCCATGAAGGGCACCGGCTTAGACCTATCTGCCCCACCCCATTCTTCTTGTTCGAACTCGTGAAAGTTTCACCTGTGGATGATTTTGCCTTGTCTTGAATTGATGATTGATAAATCTTCTGCTTTATTTTTTGCCCAGGTGAATCAGATGGCAAAAGGTTCAGCTCGAGGTCTAGGCTCATTTTCTGACCTCTGGAACCTGCTGGCTCTTCTGGGTATCTGCTACGATCTTCAGATGCTCTTGACTGATCCTGAAAACATCGATGAATCATGTTTTCATGCATGTTTGTGGGCATATACACGACCTGCATACACTTATATACAAGCATGCATACCTTAGCGTCTAGGCGTTCTTGCCAGTCCAAAGGTAGAGGAGTGCGGAGGTGGAGCTCAACGTCGAACGTTATTGATGATGTGCTTCCTGAGTCTGTCCCTTTGTTGAGCAGAGTGGACTCGAGCTTGCCTTGTGACCCATCTTCTTGCTTCCTCTTCTTGAATGAACTGTGGAGCTCTTCTCTGTAGACAGGGATCCCCCTCTTTCTCGACCAGAGGGTCCCTTCTTGCACAGAAACCATCAGAGCTCTTGTTCTGTGTTGAATTCTCACTCTCCGATGTTAGGAGGAAACTATCAGATAGACTTGAAGGAGTTTGTGAAGGTTTATATATAAGAAGACCCCCACAGGAAGTTATTGTCCCCAACGGCTCTTGTAGAGTAATTGAATCAGCCCACCAATATAAATTATGTTTCTCCAACTATGTACTATAACGTAATAGTTATATATATATATATATACACTCTTGATTTTTCTTATTATAATTTGAGAGAGGGGAAAACAAAGAGGAAATACATAAATTAATGGGGATCCGATGCGGGAGTTCCAAGTTGGGTGTGTTCAATAACTGAGAGGGCATAGCTCCAAGGAACTCATTTAAATGCTTAGATGTGAAGTTCTAACCAACTCTTCTTTTCTGCACCATCATTGTCGTCATCATCATCGACATCTGGGCATATGATGCATGCAACTATATTATATATATATATATATGTGTGTGTGTGTGTGTAAACATTATGAGCCAAAACTTCTTTCCGTTTCAGTTTGTCTTCATCCACCACCATCGTCATCTTCAGCATCATGTATTCGTGTATGATGTATATATGTATGCATGCAAATATATGTGTACGGTGAATTGCATGCACTTGATCTGAATGATGGATGTGCAACTTACAAGTGCGTATATGTTGTGTGTAAATGATGCATGCGTATATGTTTGTGTGAATGATGCATTCATATGTGTATATATATATATTTAACGTATGAATATTATATGTTCATTCGCATGCAGCTTTTCTATGGTGCACCATGCGTGTAAAAGAGTACGCAATTTTTTTTTCCAATTATGAGAAAAAATCTACGTCCCAATATAATTTAGGGTTTCAAGTTTTCGTGGCCATCTTATTTTTTCATGCAAACTCAACAATCATCAAGATTCACGTACAACTAATATTCAGACAGGTTCTTATCAATTCCATGTCTAATTAAGAAGATAGATTCGAGTTTTTCAAATCGAAGACTGTCACTCGATGCGGAAACTTATAGGATTAGTAATGATGTAATTAAGTTTAAGTTTAAGTTTTGGATTTGTGATTGTATTTCTGAAATAAAGTAAAAATGTGACGGTCGAGGGGGAAGTGAAATGGCAATAAATGTGAGAGACACTAAATACAGTTGAAGGGGGGAAGGTTTCATGACTTGATGAATGCCGATGCAACTTTAAATACCCCCCACCCCTCATTTAACTCCCACTTTTGGATAACCCTTCCTCCCCATCACCAAGAGAAAAGAAAAAACATTCATAACATATATACAATTATATGTTAAAATCTTATTTCAAGTACTTTTTTTAAATATTTGAAATATATATAGTTTAATAACGACGTCATTAAAGCCTTCAACGCCCTCCCAACACATGAGTTTCCAATTGATAGAATGGTAATTTCGTTCTTGTTTCCAAATTCGAGCATTGGCATTATATATCATGACACGCTCAAGAGACAATATAATCAAATTTTCAAATGCACACTCACTACAACGTACGACTTCTAAATTCGAATTAAATTATAGATATGTATGCATAAGTAGGAGTATATATATTTCAATTTCTTTATGAAAAAATAATGAAGGCTTTTAAAGCTCGCTAACACCAACGTCGTCCATGCATGCAACCACAATGAAAGAAAGGCTTTTAAAGCCCTCAACACCCTCGTCAGCTATAAAGATTCATGTCTTTCATTTTATTTATGGCTCGTACCAGAAACTTTTAATTCTGAAAATTCAAGTAATGACATAAAAGAAAACTCAAAGTGACAATTAATTCTAAAAAAATTCAAGGATCAGTACTCGTCTACCCGTTTCCATTATATAATTCCGATCGGACATCAATGCTCGTTCAGATATACGCATTGAAGTGTCTTAACAGCAGCTTCTGAATTACAATGAAGTGATTTTTTTTGGTTAAACCCATAGAATTCTTGCATATATCAAAACTATGTTTCCGAACTAAATCCTTCGGGGTCTAGTGCAGTGGTTAATTAAGAGACTATAATTTTTCAAGAGATCATGGGTTCGATTCCACTCTCCAGCGAATTTGTGATCCTTTGAGTGGTTTACGTGTTACACATGATTTGCAGGTTATTACGTGGAGTCGGAAGGTTTATCACTGCGCTCGAAGGGCTGTGACACGATCCTGTAAAAACTCTCTTGAGAATTCTAACAGAGTTGTCAAGTGCCAACCAAACTTCGCGATTTCAGAGAACGAATAGAAAGATTTACCATAAGATCTCGATTGAATCTTTTCCCTCTCCGATCCAAATTTTAAAAATCTAGACACTCACCACAGTTATAGGATTGTAAAAGAGACAAACTTGTATAGTGCTTAGCCTTGATCCACAATCGTTTTACTACAAATGATTTAATTTCATTATTAGACCAGAATTTTTTTTATATCCTGTTAAGAAACACGTTAACCTAACCTTGGGCTAGATCCAATGTACAGTTTATTAGATCAATTTCTAACATTAATGTTGACCCAAAATCAAGTTTAAATTCAATAATAATTTTTTTCTCCATGTTATTTCTTTTTTTTCCTCCTTACATGATAATTTGGATTAACTAGATTACTAGATAACGAATGTAGTAGGTACTGTCCCGACCACAGTTTTTGGTGGACTTCAAATTAGCCGTCAATATAGCTTAAAAGTTAAAACCTTGTTTTTATTTGAAAAAAAAAACTTACAAAAAGAAAAAAGAAAAGAATTTTACATGTGAGATCTAATTGGAATGAACACATTTTATAGGCAACGAAAGGCATGTGACAATGGAAACAGAAATAGGGAAGATATCCTTATAAATAGGGTTGGATTTGCCTAGAAATTAGGTTTGAGTGGACCGCATTAACTATTTGAAATAAATGGAAACATTACTATATCATACAGAAAATAAACAAATCGTTACAGTCTTGGACCGTACGTATTTATTCCTGAGGTTGGGTATACATTATTTGTGTGGAGCTTCCGTATATAGTGTACTTAGTCATTGATATTTTGAGACAGGGAGAGTTAGGAATTAGATAAATCTAATTTAATGGCCCAATTAAAAGTTGCCTAACTTGTCCCTATCGTACAAGTTGCAAAAAGCAATGCAACAATGAGATCGATCATTACATGTGACATTATATCTCTAAATGAATAATAATTCTCACCAATTTAAGTTTTTGTATTTGGATGGATTACTAGTAAGTAATATTTTACGGCTTTCGCATTAACCGTTTAAATTTGAAATATAAAACATTATACCAAAAAACATATCATATACTGGCATATAAAAATTATTTTGTAGTAGATGTTAGTATATGAATTTCTATTTTCTATTTAGTGTTGCCGTGTTGATGTTTTGAAGCCTAATATTTTGGTGTCTTTCCTGTTTTAGGTATTACCTAATTCTCGTTTGCTCAAAGGGATATGGTTGGTCTCTCGGATTGGGCTAAGTGGGCCCTCTGTTGGGTCAGACAATAACTGTTCAAACTCAAATAGGCTATCTCCTTATGGGCCCATTTTATACTCCGTGGGCTGAATGAAGCCCATATGGTAATCCCAAGACAATATATATATTTTAAAATTATCTTTGCCACCGAAACATTTATCAATTTTTAAGGGAAAAAAATATATGATTCCCTTTTATCGAACCTTCGTGCTCAGTAGCTAGACACGAGGGCATGAAAATGTTGACGGTTATCGCCGGAAGGTTCTCGCCGGTACTTCTGCCTCCGGGAATTTCCAGTTCGAGATTCTCATCCTTCAACTCCGTCGCTCGGAGACGCACTCTCTTTGTTTCTAGATCGATTCGCGCTTCTTCCGCCGCTGTCTCCATCGAGACGAAGCCCAAGGTACTCCCTCGTTCTTTTTTAGCTCGCTCTTCGCACGATTTTCCGTAGGGAGAGATTTGATCTTTACGATTAAGAAACGTAATGCATGGATTTGGGGGTTTTAGGATCTGTCCGAGGGATTCAGGCCGGTGTTCGACTCGCTTTTTTGGTTAATTTGTTGTATATTCTTCAGGAAATTTCTGTTCGTGATCTGGGGTTTTAATTAGATGCTCTTGTTTTCTGGTGACTCAATTCGCGCAGGAGGATCCCGTACCTGTAGCGGAGAAGGAGAATATAGGCGAGAAGAACGTTTTGGCCTGCCCCATTTGTTTTAACTCCTTGGCACGGGTTAATCAACCTAATGGGTAAGTGTGAGTTTCATTATTCGTTAGAAATTGTCATTTTCCAAAGAAGAAAATCGATAAATGAAGTGATCAATCATGTTTCTTGAGAGGCAAGTTAGTTGATTGTTGTTGATGCAAGAATTGAAATTTGGCACATCAGAGAATCTACATTGGGCACATCGTTGCAATGCGTTACATGTAAGAAGAATTACTCTGGTTGTGAGACACATCTTGATTTGACTGTGGCTGGTGAAACCAAGCAATATGGCGAACAAATGCCTCTCTCCACCGAGTTATTCAGGTGTGGGTTGATGATTTTTTTTAACATATTTTACTTCCGATTCTGCTATTTCGAAAAATCAAATTCTGTAGATGTGCTGATTAACAGGCTTCCTTTAGTCTCGTTCCTCTACGAGAGGGGTTGGCGGCAGAGTTTCATATGGGGAGGTTTTCCAGGACCAGAGAGAGAGGTGAGATGGAATTTCTCTTCTTTGTTAAAGGTTGATCCTTTCTTTGCAGTTACTTACAGGAAAAACTTGTAGGATTTAGCTTGTTTGCTGTAACAATGGGTAGATGAAATTCAATGTGAAAGAACAACGAATTGGGTCCATATCACAAATACCATCTGTATTGCTTCACATGATAAAGCTGCTGCTAAAACTTAAAATGGAGGGTTAGTGTTTCATGTGCTTCGTTTGGCGACTAGCACCTTGTCCATTACTGTTGCGCAGTTTGAAATGGCTAAGGACTACTTAAAGCCAGCTTTGGGAGGGAAAATAATCGACGCCAGTTGCGGCAGCGGGATGTTTTCCAGATTATTCGCCAGAAGCGGATTGTTCTCCCAAGTGATTGCCCTGGATTACTCAGAGAACATGCTGCGACAGTGCTATGAATTCGTAAATCAAGAAGAAAACTTCCCCAAAGAGTAAAAGGCTTTCACGTAGTATAAACATCTGTTTTGTAAGATTTGGATCATAACTTTTACTTTGCTAGTCTTTCCTTTCCAGGAAGATCGTTCTGGTTCGGGCAGACATCTCTAGACTTCCCTTCCTCTCAGGTTCAGTGGACGCTGTGCACGCTGGTGCCGCTTTGCATTGCTGGCCTTCACCTGCCTCAGCAGTAAGTCCTTGTTTTTGAGCACACTGGATAATCTGGGAATGTTTTAAATGTTTCTTCTGGATCTTGTAGGTTGCAGAAGTAAGCCGTGTTCTTCGGCCTGGAGGTGTGTTTGTTGCCACCACATTCATCAATGAGCCTTTAAGTTTTATCCCATTCTCGAGGAATATTCGCCAGGTACATCCAGTCTTCTCTCCATTTTCTTCTCATAAATTGCTCCTCTGTCCATGACTGATTCCCTTGGGGTGTGCATTTTAGGGGGTGATAAGGTATTCGGGTTCTCACTTCTTTCTAAGCGAACGTGAGCTCGAAGACGTCTGCAGAGCCTGCGGACTCGTTGGGTTCAATTGCGTGAGGAATGGGCCCTTTATAATGCTCTCCGCTACAAAACCCAGATAAGCTTTCACCCTTTAACCCATAACAAAAATGTTGAGAAAAAATGTCAAGATTACTATACTACACGGTAAATAAATAAATCATTACATTCTTAAAACGTAAAAAGGAAAAAAAAAAAAACTGATCAAGCTCCAGACACAATGATCAACTACTTTAATGTCTTGTTATTTTATTAAATATTACAATGTCATAAGATTCTTTGACCATACGTATAAGATCGATCATTACATGTAACTATATGTATATATCGATAAATAGTAATGGTCATCAATTTAAGTTTTTGCATTTTGCAAGTGGATATTCTTTTGGGTAATTTTCATTAATTTCTTCATGTGAAATGATGTAAAAAGAATTTCTAAAATTTTCGTACGACAGATTTATTTTTACATTTATAAAATGTTTTATTATAATTCTTAAATTTCCTAATTATACCAAGATGACATTGATATAGAAAATTTGTTGATTGGATGGATATTCTATATGGCATCGCACATCATAATATCATATGCCACGTTAAGTGATGTGGCACGTAAGACATTAATAAACGGTTTTTGGATTAATATTTTGTCTAGATATAAATTTAAAAATATATTTATTAAACGAAAAATTTAAAAATTAATTTTTTTTATTGTTTTATAAATTTTAAAATTTATCTTATTTTTTTTATATTTTTACGACTTTCATTTTAAATTTGAAATAAAAAAAATTATAAAAAACATAACATAAGCCGATATATAAATTTTATTTTGTATCAGATTTTGGTATATAAATTTCTATATTGTATGTAGTGTTGGCCTTTCCTAAGTCTCGTCTGCTCATTCACAGATTGAAAAGGAAATTCTTGGTTCCTCGGATTGGGCTAAGTAGGCCCTCTTCGGTTGGATTAGACAATGTTCAATTATATATGGTCAAACTCATATGGGCTCTCCGTTAGGCCTATTTATGCTATTATTGGGCTGAATGGCCATATGATAAGCCCAAATCCTATACCCTTTAAAATTCTCATTGCCACCGAAACATTTATTAGTTTTCAAGGGGAAAAAAACTTAAAATATATGATTACCTCTTGCTGAAGCTTCGGGCTCCGTAGCTAGACACGACGGAAATATTCAAGTTCCTAAAAGTGCCAGCTATATCAGAACGATGTCAGGCTCTTCGCCACCTGCGGCTCTAGTATGTTCCAAGGCATTAGAGGTCTGAAAATGTTGACGGTTATCGCCGAAAGATTCTCGCCGGTATTTCTGCCTCCGGGAATTTCCAGTTCGAGGTTCGCGTCCTTCAATTCTGCCGCTCGGAGACGCACTCTCTTCGTTTCTAGATCGATTCGCTTTTCTTCCACGGCCGTCAAGCCCGAGGTACTCCCGCGCTCTTCTTTAACTCGCTCTTCGCACGCTTCGGCGTAAGATTTTGGGGGGCTAGGGTCTGTCTGATTTTTTGGTTAATTTATTGTAAATTCTTCAGGAAGTTTATATCGTGATCTGGGGTTTTAATCAGATGCTCTTGTTTTCTGGTGACTCAATTCGCGCAGGAGGATCCCGTTCCTGTAGCGGAGAAGGAGAATATAGGCGAGAAGAACGTTTTGGCTTGCCCCATTTGTTTCAACTCCTTGGCAGGGGTTAGTCAATCTACTGGGTAAGTGTGAGTTTCGTTGTTTTGGCTAGAAATTGTCATTTTCCAAAGAAGAAACTCGAGAAATGAAGTGATCATTCATGTTTCTTGAGCGGCAAGTTAGTTGATTGACGTGGATATAAGAGTTGAAATTTGGCACATCAGTGAATCCACATCAGGTACATCGTTGCGATGCGTTACTTGTCAGAAGAATTACTCTGGTTGTGAGACACATCTCGATTTGACTGTGGCCGGTGAAACCAAGCAATATGGCGGACAAATGCCTCTCTCCACCGAGTTATTCAGGTGTGGGTCGATGATCTTTTTAACATATTTTACTTCCGATTCTGTTGTTTGGAAGGAAACCAAATTCTGTACATGTGCTGATTAACAGGCTTCCGTTAGTCTCGTTCCTCTACGAGAGGGGTTGGCGGCAGAGTTTCGTATGGGGAGGTTTTCCGGGACCAGAGAGAGAGGTGAGATGGAAATTCTCTTATTCGTTAAAGGTTGCTCCTTTCTTTGCAGTTACTTACAGGAAAAACTAATAGAATTTCTGCATGTTTACGGTGACAGTGGGTAGATGGAATTCAGTGTGAAATGGAAGGTTAGTGTTTCATGTGCATCATTTGTCGACTGACACCTTGTCCATTACTGTCGCACAGTTTGAAATGGCTAAGGACTGCTTGAAGCCGGCCGTGGGAGGGAAAATAATCGACGCCAGTTGCGGCAGCGGGATGTTTTCCAGATTATTCGCCAGAAGCGGATTGTTCTCCCAAGTGATTGCCCTGGATTACTCAGAGAACATGCTGCAACAGTGCTATGAATTCGTAAATCAAGAAGAAAACTTCCCCAAAGAGTAAAAGGCTTCCACTTGTAGTATATGAACATCTGTTTTCTAAGATTTGGATCATAATTTTTACTTTGCTAGTCTTCCTTTCCAGGAAGATCGTTCTGGTTCGGGCAGACATCTCTAGACTTCCCTTCCTTTCAGGTTCAGTGGACGCTGTGCATGCTGGTGCTGCTTTGCAGTGCTGGCCTTCACCCACCTCAGCAGTAAGTCCTTATTTGAACACCTTGGATAATCTGGGAATGCTCTCAACGTTTCTTCTGGATCTTGTAGGTTGCTGAAATAAGCTGTGTTCTTCGGCCTGGAGGTGTATTTGTTGCCACCACATTCATCTATGAGCCTTTAAGTTTTATCCCGTTCTCGAGGAATATTTGCCAGGTAAACTCAGTCTACTCTCCATTTTCTTCGCATACATTGCTTCCCTGTCCATGGCTGATTGTGTATTCATCGGGGGTGTGCATGTCAGGAGGCGACAAGGTATTTGGGTTCTCACTTCTTTCTAAGCGAGCGTGAGCTCGAAGACATCTGCAGAGCTTGTGGACTGGTTGGATTCAACAAGCGTGAAGAATGGACTCTTTATAATGCTATCCGCTACAAAACCCAGATAAGATTTACCTTTTAACCCACAACATAAATGTAGAGGAAAACAAAATATCTTTCCTTGACACTGTATACAATAATCTCATTGTACAGCGTGTGTACATTTCCTGTACCAATACTGTTTGAGTGAAGTTTCCTGTTCTTTTTGCTATGAACTATCTACCTACGTTTCCAAACCTCAGCTGCATAAATCAACGGTTTCTCTTTGTCCTGATCGGGACCCATCTCATCTTCAACATCCCTCATACTCCATTTCGGTCACACTTGCCTCCTTAACGGATGGCTCTCCTGCAGAACTTTCCGGAAGCAGTTCATGCATCTCTGACTCGATCAAGGCTTCCATCTGAGCCCGTTGCCTGTCGATAGGATATGTGCAGTAGAGAAAGGAGTAGATGAAGCAGCAGGCCGCCATTGGGATTCCTATAGATGTATACAGAGCTTTTGCCAGGGAAGCTGCGTTCTCTCTATCTGCGTTTATCTCCTCTGATCTTGTTGACCCTTGCAGGATCGGCTTATATCCATAAACATGCTGTGCCAGAATTCCGACAATAGGAGGAGCAAACGATGACAGAACCGACTCAAATGATCTGTCCAAAGCATAGACACTTGTCCGTGACTTCTCTGGAACGATCTCTGCAAAGATGGGGCTGCATTGTCGCCAAAGCGGAACAACGTTAGAGAGAAACACCAAAGTCATAGAGTGACGACAAGAACAATGTGTTTCACACAAGAGAAACTTTACTTGTTGGTGGCGGGAGCATTCCAAGAAACAAACAGACCTAACACGACTAAGACCAAACCATGGATCACAACAGTGGAAGGATCATATGGTAAGAACAATAAGAGTATGGCAGCGAGCGGGATGGCTGAGGCGGAACTGATCTGAGCCAGGATGATTCTGCCAGAGTTGGGAAGACGGGTCGAAAGGAGATCCCCCATTTTCCCTCCGAGTAAGCCTCCGAGAGAAGATGCAGCCACGAAAAGACCCATCAAGAAGGCAGTTTTCCCATGAGAGAACCCTATGAGCTCCAGCCACATGGGAGCAAATGACAGAGCCGACCAAGGAAACGAACCGGTCACTCCCTGAGCCACAATGATCTGAAAGGACCGAACTTTCACGACAGCCTCAACTTCCCGACCCAAATCCTTAATTTCCGACCACAAAGACTTGCAGGGAACTCTCTGATTAACCTCAACCCTGTCTTTCCCAAAGTGCGGGTCATCAGCATAAACACGGACAAGTACACCGACAATGACACTGATCAACCCGACGAGATGGAAGGAAACTCTCCAACCAGGGATGCCCATGAAGGTTATGGGAGCTATTAACACAGAGCACAGCCCACCTATGATCGAGCCGAGGTTGCCTGTGAGCTGTAACCATCCAAATGCAGTGCCACGGTTAGTATCGTCTGTTGAGTCAGCTACTAGGGACTGGATTGCCGGGGCGACCAGGGCTAGGCCAATGCCATTGAGAGCTCTGGATACAGCGACCTGTTCATCCAGATACCGCATGGGTGTCAGGACATTACAGCATGTTCCGAAAAGGATTGAAAATGCAATAAACAGAAAGAGAAAAAAAAAATCCAAGAGCCCAAACCCGAAACAACAAGCTTGAAAGTTTTCTACTTTCACTTTCTTATCATCCGTACACAAAACCCAGAATCCTTGTCTTTGCCGTTTTCCATTAATTTCCCATCAAATAAAAAAAAGCCCGGATTCCCACTGGTTCGGAACATTCTTTTGAAGGAAACCTCGTTTGCCATATCCTATGGAGCTGACTCTTCCCCTCGGGTACTCCTTCCTCTCTCCTACGTATCTGTTGATGATCCACCCGATTTCTGTCTAAGCATAATGCTTAATATATATTTTCTCTGTGCAAAAAAATTCAGGTGCATGCCCTTGAAACCGAGGCATTGCTGCAACTTCGCCGACACGAAGAGGCTTACAATACATACAAGAAAGGAACCAAGCTTTTCAACATCGATGGTTTCATCAAGATTTCCGGTCTCCCCGCTACTTCTTACCTCTTGACGGTGGGAGCACAGGTTTACATAGCAGCAGGAAGGTATGCCGAGTTTGAGCGTCAGCGACCCCAGCCCCGTGGGATCGGTGTGTAGAGCCGCGCCGACTTCCTTGTAAACCCCTGGAAGCAGAGACTCGTCCGCTCTCTCCATTATTCCGGCCAGGTTCACCAGAACCAACGTCAACGTCTCCGCCTTCATCTTCCCCCCAACTCGTTGTTCTTTCTATCTGATTCTGTGGGTTTGATCGGGTATTTCGATTTTCTCCGCGAACTGATCGAAATTGGAAAAAAAAAAAGGTGAGAGGCGGTTGGCGTCAATGGTGGGGGATTGCGGTAACGTTATTTGTACGGATGAGCGAGATACCGGTAGCCGTACGGACAAAGAATGAATCGGAAAAGCAATCTACGAAAATTCCATGATCCATCTCGTTTCCGTGGAGGTACCCACTTTGGATTACGTTATTCTAAAATCATCTTTGACCGGATAACGTATATTCCAAGTCCGATGACTCTGTACTCTCTCTGGTCCTCAAATGGGCCGTGTATTTGGGCTTTATAAAACCCATTTAAGTCTAGAGGCCCAACTTATTGTGGTACCAGAGTATTTAAAATGTTTTGTTTTTTACAGGATATGTACATATCCCGATATAAATATCAAAGATTTGTATCTCTATTAGATATATTTTGTAAACGGTCCAACGTATTTTTTCTGAAGGCATTTTGGATTTTCTAACGTAGCGCATTTATTTGACATACATACATATATATATATATATATATGGCCGCAAAATATCCCATTCTTTGACGATTAAAAACCTGATACAAAACCAAAAAGTGTACCTCTTATTCGTGTTTATGGGCTGCAATAAAACAAAATATGGGGATGGAGTCCACATGAACATACACACACACAAAATCTCCAAGTGGTAGACCAAATCTGTCACTTATATGTGTATGCCTTTCCCAGTGTTTCAACCTTCAATCCAAAGCTTATCCTCCATCTTCCCCCCTTTGTCAAACTACGTCCGCTCGTGGGCCCATTTATATGTGCACAATCAATGCTATTAATTAAAATTATCGGTTATACACATTGTATATTTACACACACACACACACATCCAATTGAACAATGTTGTTTCTGTCTGATCATTTATTTTGTAAGGTTGGTAATTATTTTTTCCACCGTACGACTAGTAATGATTTGGTTAAACAGAAACGTAATCATAAATGTATAACGGCACTGCTACAATTATATATTAGTAAAAAGTAATCCAAAAAAGCAACACACATATATGTATATATGTTACATACATTTTGTAAATTCCGACGTCTCTTCATCAAAACTCTCGACAAATTAGCGGTGTTATATGTGTATCTGTACTCAAATATAAAATTTTGTATGGATATCATTTGCAGTCTCCTCCTCTTTAACAAAAATTGTAAAATAAGACGCTTCAAACTTTATTGGCCGATCGTGTAAGGATTTTGAGAACTTTGAGTACAATGGAAGTATAGATATGACTTCTCTCCCTGTGTGTGTGTATATATATATATATACCCTTAATACATTTTGCCCCATCTTCACTCGTAAAACTCGTTGCATCCTCCTTATCCTACTATCCACGTCAATGGAAGAACTTCACAGTGGAAATATCTTGAAGCAACGGAGATTACAAAACAAGTTTCTCAAGTCGTAAACTTTTGACTGCTTTTTTGGTATTTTAGCTATATACCAAAATAAATTTAAAAAAAAAACAAATAGATTTGAGAGAATCTATTTATGTGGCCTTTTTGGTTTTATTATATTCCCTATTCATATCTTTAACCCTATGGTTTTGTTTTGTCGGCAAAAATAAAAGCATGCAACTGATACATGTCATTAGCTAGACATTTGATGTCCATAAAGATTCTTTTTTATTAAAAACGAAACTCATATCATATTGTCCATGCGAATCATTTTACAATATTCGTCTAGCTTTAAAGGATTTCATAGTGTTATTTATATAGTATGCTGGTTAAATTAATTTAAAAAATGGTACATAGAATTTTGAAAACTGAAAAAAAATATGTGTTTTTTTTTGCGGGATGAGAAATATAAGATGGGTCAAAGTCAAACATGTAAAACGAAAGGAAACTGTCCTACCGGATATGAATTTACGAAGACGGCACCGACTACGACAACCTCAGTACACTGTACGGTCCATCTCCGTCTCCCTCATTCATCCGTTGATCCCGGACGAGGACGACAATTACAAATACATATATATGTATTTTTTTTGTAACTGTAAAATACATATATATTAATAACTACATATACGAGAAATTTAATGTTTGCAATTTTATAATTATGATAGCGCCGTGTGTAATCAACATGCATTCACTTGCCTGTCCATCTATTGATATTTATTGTTTTATGATATTGTCGGAAGCTTTTATTTGTTCTTAGATTTTTATAATAGTGGCTAAAGACATTCGCATAATTACTTTTTATTATTATTATTATTATCATTATTGTTGTTGTTATAGGTAGCAAAAATAAACGAGGGATAAGTATTTTTTTTAATGATTGCATATGTGTAATGTGATATTTATGGAATTTTAGTTTACTCTTTAAATCAACTTTTCAATATTCCCTTGTCCATGAAAAAGATGAAACCAAAAAGAAATATATGATTGATCGAAATTCTACCAAAACCAAGTCTCTAGAAACCGCGTAAATCACATTGTAATAGTTGTAATAAAAAAACAGAATAAAGAATGAATGAATATTGTATTTTTTTTTTGAAAATATGGATAATTAAAATTTTAATCGTATATTTTAAATATCTAAAAAATATATTCTGTGTTTTTCGTAAACTTACGAGCGAGATTGGAAGAACTGCAAATATATGCAAAATTGGTGACGATATCAAATATGAAAATATCGCGTTAGTTAGTATAATTTTTATATTAGTTTTAATAATTTCTGCATGGAGATAAATATTATACATAACTCGCAAATTTCGTGTGGTGGAGTGAAGCACTTTTGGCGATTACCCCAATTATCTCTTAATTAATTAATACATGGTGCTTACACAAAGCACTCAAATACAAGAGGATAAACTTAATTAATCCATTGATTATTCCCTTTAATAAAGGGAAAAAAATTTAAAATCCACCCTTCGGACCAAACCTTTTGTTAGTGTCATACAGACCAATGCCATTATGATCGTTTGGTAGAAAAAATCTCAACCTCTTCTATACCACAATTATTATGTTTTATTTTAACAATATTTATTACATTTTTACCATTAATATGACGAAAATAATTCATCACTCACGAAATTGTTTTCTGTTTCACCCTTCTTGGTTGTTATCAAAGTTTTATTTTTATTTAGAGGTGGGTATTAAAATTAAAATACAAAACTATATATGGAATCCACCAAAGGTTTTGGATTACGTTCTAGATCGTACTCATGTAATCTTTCACCAGCCTCCAAATATATATTTGATCGCTGTATTGCTGGTTACTGAGATTTATATTAAATTCGAGGTGGGGTCAACGAATATGTTATTACAATCATAATCACCTTGATTTATTCTATACGAATATCTTTCTCGAAAATATTTCCGAAAAAATATAATCCCTTTGTCGGTCGGGCAATCAACCCCCCTGGCCCCCTACCCACCCCAAAGACAAAAAAATATACTCCATCCGTTTCAAAATATTTGTAGTTTTAGTTTATTTTCCATGTTTCAAAATATTTGTCATTTTACATTTCCAAGATAGTTTTTTACAATAGTTTCCAATTTTATCCCTCCCAAATTCTAATAAATTATTAGTGATAACATTATTTTTATCATTAAATAAGGTTACATGTGTCTTTTTCTTTCTTTTCTTAAAAAATGTGAAAAATCCTAAAACTACAATTAATCTGAAACGGAGGGAGTATTTTTTATTTTCTAAAAAGATAAAGTGTCTCAAATTCCACACGATTAATTCGCATTAGAATTTATAATTTGTCTATTTTTGTTTTAGATCGCGAGGAGGAGAGGGCAAGTAAAGTTGGTTTCTTGGAAACCACTCCACAGTGCCTTTGTTAGGTTCATATATAAATTCATAGAATTTCATCTCCCAAGTCAGAAACCAGAGATCCGCTGTTTCATCCAAAGGTTCACAGTGCTCTATCATCTTCAAAGTTCTTACCTTTTTTCCTTCTCTTTCTTTCTTTTTTTATTTTCGAAGATGGTGAAGCTGAAGACAATCTCGACGGAGCGAAAATTGGGTTGCGGGAGTCTCCTCGGAGGGTTTTTCCAAAGCTGGAGCCCTCGCCGGAGGAAGCCATGTCTGCCGGAAAAGCCGCCGGAGGAACCGTATTTGCCTCCCAAGTCAACCACCACAACGAACCCTCCGAGAAAATTGGCAGAAACCCCCAAAAAGAAGCCAAAACCCGACGAACATTTTCCGAGAAAATCATCTGATTCCGGGAGAGTATCAAACTCCTCGACATCATCGAGAACAGATGCCAAGAGGCTGGTGGGAAACGGTGTGATGGGAAATATCATCGTGAAACATCCTTCTTCACTGGTAGCCGTGGAGAGAAGGAAGGGGAGAGAGGGCAAAACGTTAAATCGCAGATTGGAACCTGAGGTTCTGAAGAGTATGGGGAACGAAGAGTATTCTCGAGGAAGGTTTCGGGAGGCATTGGTGTTGTACGAGAGAGCTATTTCAACTGACCCCAAAACGGCGACGTATTGGTGCAACAAGTCCGCCGCTTTGATAAGCCTCGGTCGTCTTCTCGAGGCTTGTGATGCGTGCGAAGAAGCCATCAGATTGGATCCGAGCTACGAGAGAGCTCATCATAGGCTCGGCACCCTCTACGTCAGGTAGAGTCTTTGGTCTCTCTGGTTTGAATTCACCCCAAACGTTTCTCTCACGTGACAAATAAAAAGGATGGAATTGCACCACCTGCCTGCCTGCAGATTGGGAGAGGCTGCAAAAGCTTTGGAGCACTATAAACGAGCGGGAAAGCACGTAGAGATGAAACACGTGGAACAAGTCCACGATGTCATAAGAAGCATCAAGAGATGTGAAGATGCTCGCAAATCTAGAGAATGGAACATTCTTTTGAAGGAAACCTCGTTTGCCATATCCTATGGAGCTGACTCTTCCCCTCGGGTACTCCTTCCTCTCTCCTACGTATCTGTTGATGATCCACCCGATTTCTGTCTAAGCATAATGCTTAATATATATTTTCTCTGTGCAAAAAAATTCAGGTGCATGCCCTTGAAACCGAGGCATTGCTGCAACTTCGCCGACACGAAGAGGCTTACAATACATACAAGAAAGGAACCAAGCTTTTCAACATCGATGGTTTCATCAAGATTTCCGGTCTCCCCGCTACTTCTTACCTCTTGACGGTGGGAGCACAGGTTTACATAGCAGCAGGAAGGTATGCCGAGTTTTTTTTTTTATAAAAAAAAAAACAGAACAACCACTTGCCGTTTCTCTTCTAGAAGAAAGAAAAACGTGTTGTTTTTTCCCGTCTTGTCGACAGATTTGAGGATGCAGTAACGGCGTCCCAGAAAGCGGCGAGGCTAGACCCGAGCAACGGAGAGATAAGTAGAGTGGGTAGGAGGGCAAGGGCGGTTGCATCGGCAAGACTCAGTGGAAACTTGCTCTTCAAGGCATCGAAATTCGACCTGGCTTGCGTGGTCTACACGGAAGGGTTGGATCATGATCCCTACAACGCCCTCTTGCTTTGTAACAGGGCAGCCTGCAGGTACAAGTTGAACCAATTCGAAAAGGCCCTCGAGGATTGCACCTCCGCCCTCCACCTCCAACCTTCATACACAAAAGCAAGACGACGTAGAGCCGAATCTTATGTAAAGGTACTCCACTTATATATATACATAGTTTATATCCATATATAATCGTCTCAAATATTTCAAGAATGAAGTCTATGTTAAGATAACAATTTAGATCATTTTATTAAAAAAAAAACAATTTAGATCCTGTGAATATTTTTTATAAAAAAAATTACACTATTATATCTCAAACATGTTTGGATTTTATATATAAAATCATTATAATACTAATAAATCGAATTTTTGTTTATTGTGATCATTATAATTTTTTTAAACCAAATACTCGTTATTAATATTTTTTATGTTTTATCAAACAATTCTTCTAATGTGATTAAATAGATATAAACAAAAATTCAACCTTGATTTTGGAACGTAGTTGGAGAAATGGCAGCTTGCAATTCAAGATTATGAACTATTGATGATAGAGACACCGGGAGACGAGGAGATTAGGAGATCCTTGGCCGAAGCCAAAGGCCGGTTAAGTCAGCAATCCGGTGGATATGTCCACATGGGAACCGGTTCAGATTTGGTTTTGGTAAACCGAGTTGAGAAAAGCTCGGGGGAACTCCTCACCCAAAGTGTATAGTTTCCGAAGCTTCAATGATTGGGTGTGCGAGTGTCTTTTCTTTGGTAATTTAGGTGTGTTTTCTTGTTTGGTAATTTATTTGATTTTAAGGATTTTTTTTTTCACAGGGTATGTCCATTTCTTTTGTCGTGAATGAAAAAAAAAATTCACGTGTTGCGACTTTTTTTCATTGCAACCCAAAATCTTTAATATCCTAAGCTCGTAACAAAACCGAAGTAATTAATGTATAAAAATTTTTCTTTACTCATTATATAACATAAACATCCAGTAATAGAAAATTTAAACGCTTCCAGAAAAGGATATGGGATCCGTATCTTTCCATGAAGATTTTCCAAATTAAAAATAGATTATGCAACATTCTTATAACTCAAATTTAAAATCTATAATAGGGTTATATAGCTTAATATCCAAATCAAATTAAACACGAAGAGTGTATAAAAATAGAATTTATATACTGTTATAACTATTATTTGGTTTTATTGTATTGTTGTATTAAGAGTTATATTATATATTATAATTTATTTTAGTTGATAATTATAAAAAAAAACAGTAATGGTCATATAATTTGAGAAATCACATATTTCATGTATAACTATAAAAGTTCACCTATGGTTTATGGACCACAATATCCTCTCCATAAAGGATTAAATGGTCCTAAACTCAGTTTATCGGCCAATTTCACCATTCGACCATTGGTGGACTCTTTCCTCTTAAGACTCTAGATGGTCTAGAGGGTTGTATAGAGATTAAAAGCACAACACGAGACTAGTCAAATATCAATGATGATTCCAAACTTACCGTTTCGGAAGAATAAATCTGGTAAGGGTTACTTCTGATTTCTTTAACCTTTGTGTAATTATTATATGCTTTCACTTTTAACGTGTGATTATAACTTTCACTGATAACGGAATCTGCTGACCTTCTGGCTTTGTATAGTATCCCAAACCATCGCTCTCAATTTTTAGACGTAGATATATTGGTTTGGGCAAAATATCTTCTTATTTCATTATTTATTTTAAAAAAGTTTATATATATTTATATCAATTATAAATATATAAAATAACATAATTGTATTTTTTTTATTTTTAAATAATTAAGTTATTTAATAATCATTACTATCGTTTAGTATTAAGCATAATTAATTATGAAAAATTATTAATTAAACTTGTAGTTAGAATTCTGTGGATATTTATTTTCCTAATATATAATATTAAAATACATTATTTATTTGCTTTAAATTCACGAAACCAAATGGATATCCTCGAATTACCAAAATATTTAATCGGGTTATAAATACAGAGTTGATGGTACTTGATGAACTGAAGTTTGATTCCATGCATATGCATTAGATATTTTGTGAATAGCTTGCCCCAAAAACCTTAAGAGTTAGACCCATCCATAAAATATTCAAGGGTTTATGAACATAAAGCATCGAGATACGAACCATACATATATATAAAGTGAAAACGTAACCAGATCTTGATCTATTAAAGCAAACATTTTGTACATATTATTATGACTTGTATTACATGCAACTCTGTTAAATATCATCAACTCACGAAACATAAGAGGAAACACAAAAACTTCAAGAACAGAGCCATTGAAGAACTCGAAGCATGTAGAGAGAGAAACTTAATAATACACGTAATAACCCAGTCATAAAATCACTGGAAAATCATATAAAAATGCTTACGAAACTTAATTTTTAAAAAATATACGACGATGGTGATGGATCATCATCTCTTCCAGCTTCGACTTCTGGACAAGGGATCTTTGATTCCTCCGACAACCCAAGTTTCCTTGGCAATGTCTGAAGAGAGTCTGTAGAACTCTGTGTCGTATCTCATCACCACCAAATTCATATTCTCTTCCTCCATTAACGACCTCAGATCCTTTTTCTTCTTCTTTTCTTTATCCTTTTCTTGATCTTCACGTCCTTCTTCACGCTTTACTGTACTTTCGAATCCTTGATCCTTGCTATGTTCTTGTTCTGTTTCCGTCTTCTGTTCTTCTAACCAGCTTTTCGCCGGAGCAGACCTGCACCGCATCAGAAGCAGCGCATTCGGCGGCGGAACCGCCGGTTCCACGTCTGTATTCCCGTTTTCTATATTGTCCAAATCGCAGGAGCCGCGTTTGCGTTCACATTCACGTTTCAGCGCATTGTTCCCGTCGTTTTGATTCTCCTGTAGGACCATGAACCACTTCGGAAACACTGTTCTGGAACTCTCTTCTTCTTCTTCTTCGATCTCGTCCTCCTCCTCTTGGTTATCCTCGCGATCTTCCTCGTCTTCCGTGGAGATATCGTTATGAGGGAATGATCCGAAACACCGGAAATCGAAGCGGACGTTTCTGAGGCACGTCAAGAAACCCATCACGTCTTTCTTGAAGCCGAAGAATCTTCCCTGAGATCTGCTGCTGTGTATCCTCTCGATCTCTTCCATCACAGACTGCCAGTTCTTGCACGCGCCTTCTCTGGCGGCGCGTTTGCTCGGCCGAACCTTAATCTGACCGGCACACGTCACCTTCGGCGACGTGGGCTCAGCAATCTCTCCAGCGGTGGTGGAGCCCACCTGCCTGGTGCTGTGTTTCGCCCAAAGCAAAGGACTCACGTGCCCGCCGACGAGCTTGCTGACGTGGCGGCGGTGGAGGGGGATGACGTGGCGGCGGTTCTTGGAGTCGGAGGGGCGAGCAGGGCTGGAGATGGGTTTTGGAGGCAAGGCCAAGTGGGATCTTGATGGGAAACATACCAACAAATCTGCAGAGTGAGCAGATCTTCCTTTCATGGCCTCTTCCCTCTCTTTTCTTGGGGTTTGTACTTTCGATGGATCTTACGAAGAATTGGTTCAGCTTTTTTTCTGTTGTTGTTATCTGATAAGATGTTTAATTCTTTCGCACTTCGAACTTCTTGTGTGCTGACAGCTCTGCATTCTGCCTCTTCCCTTTTAACCGAAACCCTTTTCCGAATAAATATTTTTTTAAAAATGTGTTGTGCGTCTTTACCAACTGTGTTTTTTTCACACTTTTCTCTATGTGTGGATATGTAATATTTACAAGTATTAATATGAGGAAATGGGGTCACAAATGAAGTGAAGTGAAGTGGGACAATTTTCTATTATAGATAACATCTACATATATAAAGCCTTCATATATACATATATTCATAATATGTGTAATAACACATGCGTAAATATTGTCTTGATATAATACGTCCTGAATCATTAAAAGATTTAAATTCGAAAATAGTAACCACTGACCACACAAAAATGTTGTTCACTGCTTCGTGCAGTAACATTTGATTATTTTGATGGCAATAGCTCTATGACTAAATATTTGTTATTTTCAAGTGGAGAATTGAACAATTCATCCCCAATATTGAATTGTTCGTTTGAGTCAATGTTCGTGCCAATGGGATTCGGTTGCAACGATCTAATAAATGATGATGACATCTAACGTACCAGATGAATATATACTTATATAAGTAATAAAATACAAGGTTAGAACCCTAAATGTATAATGAGAATATAGTATTAAACAATTAGTCTACAAATATAGAACATTAATATCAGTTTTTATAATAATAAAAAATTGGACAAAATGTCTCAAACTTGAACATTAATATCCCGTTGGCGAGTGGTTGTAATAGAATTTGCTCCATTAGATTAAAGTTGGAAAGGTTTCGTGAACTTTACTTTGCCAACTTCACAATATATATACATATATATCATATATATATATATACATAATATGATAGATACATTTGCACATTTCCATAACAAGAGAAAAAGGGAAGAGAGAATAGAAAAGAGGCATAAAAGGAAAGGAAAAGGTAGGAAGGGCACGAGGCTTGTTTCATAATCCAATGATACCCACAAAGCTGTTTGAGTGGTCACGTCCTCCTTTTCTTAGTCATTTACACCCCCCACCAAACTCTATATATGTATCCATGCCTTTTTATTGTTATAAACCTTTCCCCAATTCTAATATATTATTCGAAGGATAAATAGATTAAAAAAAAAACGGAAGAAAATTATATCAAGATCATACGGCAATCTTTACAAGATTAGGAATGTGTCTGAAAGTGTTTAATGAACCGAATCCGAACAACTTCATTGGAAAACCTATATAAGATGGATCCAAAAAAATTTAAATCTTGGAGGAATTATTGCCATTCATCGCTTTCTTTTTGTTAGAGGGAGACACATCATATTTTTCATCCAAAACACTTATATCAATATGTGTGTGTGTATATATATATTTGATTGTGTTATAAGATATTCATGTGTCATATGATCTTATCTAGTATATATTTGATGTTAAGTAATGATAATATATATGGAAGTGATGAACTTATTGGAACATGAGAATATTTAGTAACTCAAATTTATAAGTTTTCTATGATTCGGAACTATTTTACACACAAAGAAAAGATTGTTCTTTTTTTTTATCAGACGAGACCGAGTATTGAGTTATGGAAAGGATGGTAGGAAAGTAAATCCCTTGACATGAGATACGGAAGATTAGTAGCTAATTAAAAAATTAAGCATATTTATTTATACAAATAAAATTGGTAAAAATTATACGCAAAACATATAATAAAATTTAGGATAAAATTTTCTATAAGGTGGATTTAGGGTTTCTTATTAGATAGTCATGGTGACAGCATGTTGAGGTACATTTGTTTTTGGTGTGAAATGGATGATTTGGTTAAACATGTAGATGTTTTGCTTTTAGGTTCAAACATTCCCTTTAATTATCTAATTAATGACGCAAGAAAAAGTTAATCATAGAGAATTTGATGCAACAATTCTGTCAAATGGTCCATCATTGATCCATCAAATGCTGATTTATATAAATTAATCAGATATCATCTAGATATATGAATATATCAGATTTCGTGAAGATATTAATTAAAAAATATGGAAAAACGAAATAATATCAAATTTTACATTATATATATATATATATATATATATATATATATATATTATTTATATGACTATCACAAAAATTACACGATTGACGATACATCCGGTAGTTTTGTTTTTAATACTCGCCATCGTTCTAAATTAAATTCAGACCTTACACTATATACTGAATTATCTAAAATATCTATTGGAGATTATCATTGTACTAACCTTGGAAATGATATGCAGAATCTAAAACAAATATATATAGAATAACCATTGATATATATTATTATATTCTAATATATATATATATATATATATATTATTACGCAATTATTTCTTTATGTGAAAGGTGAACGGTGGAGAACATGTTGATATAATAACACTAATTTATTAAAATGTGGATAGATTAAAAAAAACTAGAAAACTAGAAGCTAATGTCTTTTTTTCTTTCCATGACTTTTTTTTTTTTAAAAAAAAACACTTTATTCAATAAATCTTGTGAAGTCTTATCGCATTCGGTGATATGTAAAAACAACAGTTTGGCAAGTAAATTTTGACCTTCTTTTCTATAAAGTTGAAATTTATAAAAATCAATTAGTTCCCATGAAAAAAAAATGTTCAAGAGCATCTTAGGTAGGTGTAGGAAATTCTCCAAACTTGTTAGTGATGTTGAAATAATAATTCCATCAATCTCTTAAAATGTGGTTATATATATATATATACACACGCACACTTTATAATTTAAATTAATTTTCATTTTGTTGCGGTGGATATCATAAATGGCTGGCCCCAAATATTCAAGAAATAAAGAAAGAAAAAAGTTAGATACATTTCATCGTGATGGGTTAGACCAACATGTAGGTCTAGAATGAGTGAACCAAGAGGAAGCAATTTCATTATAAAGGGAATTATTAAAGAGTAAGACTTTTATTTTTGAAAAAAAAAATAGTCTTTTTGGGTTATAAATTATTATAATATATGAGATTTGGGTATTCACTTATTTGGGAAAAAATTGAAAAACATGTGGGTAGGGCTTTAGGACTAGCAAAAGTCGTGTGGAAAAATTAGCCAAACTTGAAATTCCCCCAAACTTAGAATCACAATCGTAACATTTATTTTGATAGAATCTATTTAGCAATAAATCTATATAGAATGCGGATAAATAATATTGTGAATTCAACTTGGTAAGTTGGTATTTTGGATTACAAAACAAATATAAATAATAAAATAAACAAATTCAACATATTTACAGATTATTACACAAAGTTATTTCTTTCTTTTTTTCTTTTTACAAAATAAGCGATACTCCGAATTCTTTGATTTCAAGAACTTTATTTATAAGAATCATTTGATCTCTATAGCGAATAGAGATTGTATATTTGGTTGGATTGGAGTGCCAAATGAATGAAATTCTTCACATCATTTTATGAAGTGCTTTATTGTACATGAAACTATATATGTATAGGGAGATGCTCTACGAATATTAAATATGAGTTGTGAGAAAATCATTACAAGTTCTGCATGAAAAACAAAGACTGATTGAAAATTAATCAATGATTTGGGGATAAAGCAAAGCAACAATATATAACTCAAATTAAAATCTATTTCCAAGGACCCACGCCTTTGATTAAAGGGTAGGATTCCACTTACTGTTTAATTAATTAAAACCCCCGTTTTTTGTTTTCGAAATTTATGATAACAAGGGATAACAAGGGACCCTTTCTTCCCTAAGCAAAGATTCTGCTGATCCTCTTTATTCTATTTAAGAAGAAGAAAGATTCCAAATATTATATCACATGATCCAACACATACATCAAATGCATGGGTGGATTTGGGCTGAAAGAATTTGTGCATGGGCCGTAGAGAAAAGCCTCGTATGGTCCGAGCTCACGGGCTTTTTACCTGTACGTTTATGCATAGAAACTAGCCTGTCCGTACAACCGTTCCACATCTTGAAAAATGAAAAATGAAAAATATTTTTCTTTAAAAAAAAAAGAGGAAAAAGGAAGCCCATTATAAGGCCCATTTACAGGCCTAATAACTAAAAGTGTTTTTTATAATACGTTTGCATGGTTAGTAAGAACCCAAGACGACCAGTCCCTAATCGTATAATAGAACAATTTATCATTAGATTCCTTTGTAAGAATACACTAATCTTTATACGAGTTTAGAGAAATTTTGTATGTCGTGTCATATTATAACAATATACCTTTTTTTGTAATCAAAATCCACTTTTTTGTTTTTATTTAAATATTTTTAAAATAAAGAATAAACTCGTTTAAATAATCGTTTTTATTTAAAATTTCCACATCACAATAAAATAAACTAAACCAAATTCAAAACCATCCCATAACCCATAGGTGGTGATAACAAGAAAAAAGTTTTCGAAACTAAACTATTTACTACCTCCAAGTTTACTGTATAAATATCCTTTCTCGAGCGCTTCACACATATCAAAGAATACAATAAAAATTTCAAAATTTCTTCAATTTTTACATTCCTTTTTTATTTTGAAATTACATTTATTCTGAATAGATGAAATTAAAAAATAATCACATACAATATATTAGAGTTTTAAGACAACATTATTTTTACAACAACAATAAAAATTAAAAAAGATAGTTATGTGAGAACATATGATAGCAAATGTGAGCATAATAGATCTGTCCCCCAAATCACATGCTCCAAAATCTTGGTTATACATTAATTTATATACAGTACAAAGTTCTCCCCTGTGGGAGAAAAGAAACAGGGTGACACGTGTGGACTGATATGAATTAACAAGGAAGAGAATATGAATTAATACATTTTTTAATCTCTGATTGGTCCGTTAAAGCTAATATATAATTGGGGCTTAAGCTGTAATCAAAGAAGGAATCATGCCTACGGAATCTAATTAAGAATTAATTAGGAATGCTGTAGTTTAAGGGATACACAAGACACCACACATGCCTTGCTCTTACTTCAAGGAACTAGCTTTCCCTTGCATACCCCCACACGCGCACACACAAAAGTTATTAGAAATTTAAAAAAATTATATAAAATTTTAAAATATTATAGAATTTTCATTTCAATATAATACAATTAAACGATAGTTAAAATATTTATACTTTAAGAGTATCGATAATAAATAATGAATTATCTGTATATTAAATATCTTGATGAAAATTATATATATATATATCAACATCATTATTGTATAACTGTAATTAAATATTAGCATAAATGTATTGCCACCTTAGTTATGAATATAAGGATGATGATAACAAAGGTAAGGATTTAAGATGATGAATCAGATCACAGGGGTAGATATAGAGGATGTATGTATATACGAGTATTCATAGGTCGTATCGTATGTGTCCATTATTCGGCCATTTGGAATTAGCTGTCCAAAAATAGCCAATGTTGCTTTCTTTTCTCTTTGCTTTCTCAGCAAGAGAAATGAGTCACACTTTATGACTTTAAAAAAAATTAAAAGAAAAATGAGTCATCGTTTTATAAAAATATAGTTGACTCAACCGTAATCTATCTGTTATTTTAATTGGATATACTCAAAATAAATATTGTTTATAAGGTGTTTAAATATCCATGAGTTAAAAAAGGTCGTTAATGCACCTATAACAATATTTAAATGATCCTATGTTTGCAGTCATTTTTTTATCTCTAGAATTCATTTTGAATCCTATTTAAGATTAAACAAGAACATTATTTATCCTATGTTTGTTAATTAAAAATATACGCCAATCCAAGAAATAAAGATAAATACAATAAATTACCCAACATCGATAAACCTATAAAAACGGCCATGATCCCAATTATTGGAGGGTATCGTCCTTAGTTTATTTCACGTCGAGGCACCAATGATGGAGTTCCTTTGTATATATATATATATACACACACCCACACTTATAGTGACTTTAGTTTCAATTTCTTTACACGTATCACGTTATGTTTTCTCATGTATGGAAGCCCCTTGGTTGTCCCACTTAAAGTCCAAATATATATGTAGGAAAAAGGGTTGATAGAAATATAAAATTGTTGAAAAATACTATTGACATTATGTTTTTATATGGTTTTTGTCACTTAGAATTGAATCACTTTAAGTGGATTCCAACTCCTCATTCAACCTAAGTAGTGTTACTTTCTAGTGGGTTTCCTTTTCACCACCTACCATTCCGAAAATAACTTATTATTAAATTATTCAGATAAATAGTATAATCATTGATATTTACAAAAATGCAAAGTTCCATTAAAGAGAGACAATTAATTTAAGAGGAAATTAAAAAAAAAAAAAGAGAAATTACTTTTAACAAGATTCCCTTGTGCTACTTTTTTATTTTCTTGAACAAATATACGCATTTTTACTAAAAAAAATCATTAGCATTTATATTCTAATACTTTTGTAATAAATTTCATCATCTAAATCTACAATAGATAATATTGGAAATTATTTAAAAAGATGAAACTCTTTATAACTATCAATAGATAAACAAAACGGGTAAATTTAACGATTTTTTATTTTACAAATTTTATGGTTCTTTTCGTTCTTCTGATTTTTGTCCCGTAGCGACATATACTCGCACGAAGAGGACATTTTTAACAATAATCTAAAAATGACAGCTTCCCACAAAATCAAGAACTATATACTCTCCAATCTTTTTTTTTCCTCAGTAAGATATTTAATAATTTAATGGTAATACGACAAATAACAATAATATGAGTTTAGGATATTTATAGCTAAATAACAGTCTCATCATATCCCATATTTACTTTAATTATCTTTTATTAACATTGTAATTAACTGTTGGGTGATTAGACTCGGAGATCGTTGAGTGCCCAATTAAATTTATTTTTTTCAAAAACCTCCGACTTGAGATATGCGTAAGATATATCACAAGAGATAGCATTAAATAAAAATTGTCTGAATGCTTTAAACAAAAGGCAGTCTGTAGTTTTATGTTGCCATATCCCATCGATTAATATCTATAACTCTAAAATGTGATGCTAATTACAGAATACACTTAGAATTTCGTTCTCACCATAATACATTATATGGTTAGAAACCAAATTTGGGTTCAGTCTTTATTTTTCAAAAAATATTGATTTTTATCTATGAATATTATGGGTTCCAAAGAGTGGATTGATTTTGGAAAAACATTAAAATAAGAATGATGTAAATTAAATAGGTGTAAAACAGATTCGAGAGCGTCGCATTCAGAAGTGGGGATGTGCAAGTGAGGTACGAAATGACAGTGTATAGATGTGTCACTTTGTGTCTGAAGGCCCCAATGTTTTTGTTTTTGTTTTTGTTTTTGTTTTTATCGTTAGTTTCCAAATAATGTCCAATTTAAATTAAAATTCGGTGCATAGCGAATTTCATTCAAGAATCAGACACCAACCAAAGATCGCAATTCGCAAGTACAAACAGTGTTTGGACGTAAATATATCGGGAAAACGAGAACCTGACGTGTGTCTGTTTTTCTCTCACGTATTAAAACAACGACGGAAAATGCCAAAAATTAATATAACTCATTTCCTTCTTAAAGTTTTTGTTGTGTTTGTTGCGAAAATGTCAAAAATATAAAATAATATGATTTTTTGAAAATAAAACAAACGAAATTTAACGAATACCAAAATATTTTTGAAGAATGACCCACCAAAATTTGGATAAAACACACGTCGACGATATTTTATTTTCACCCGAGTTAAACTGAAAAACCCATCAAATGAACATAATTTCTTCTTTTGGAAATTAAAGTTGTCCAATCATATGGTTCAATGACTTCCGCGTGTCTCTTTAGCCTTTTATTTATTTTTGTAATTTCATATACCAAAGCTCTTTTTTATTTAAATTATGGGAAATTAAAAATATATTTTTTTCTGTCAAATGTATTATAATTTTCTGCGTGATCGAGTTTGTAATCTGAAAGACACCAATCTAACAAATTAATGGCAACCAGCCTTTACAATAAAAATCAAACCTCAATTATATAATCTTATCTGACCAGATTTAGTATATTAATTGGTTGAATCGTTGAGAGATACTAAAATTAATAAATAGTTAACATAACACGACTTTATTAGAAAATTACCACGTTTAATGGGTAATAAGGAAAAAGGCACGAAAATTCTAGATATATTTTTATTTATTTTTTGGATCTGAATATTTATGGTTTGTCATGTACTTTTTGACCGCCCAAAATCCTATTATTATGTATGGTTTGTAGTAATAAAATAAAACAGACAAGAAGTGCTTTTCAGTCACTGCAAAAACAGTACTTCCCCACTTAATTATATATTGTATGTGATTGTTTATTTCAGGAGTTTCTTGGATTCCCCAAAAATTATTATACAATTTCATTGTTTTAAGATTAGGGTTTGTCTGTATCGTCTCCTGCATGAATGTGATGAACAAATTGTGCTGGTGCAGTCCAGACATGCAAACATCCTACTTTGTTGTTAATATATATTAATAACTCGATTATACACATTAATAATCAGATTAAATTTTCGAAAATTTCTCGTTCTGGGTCCGAACACGGTTGTTTATTGCTAATTATTACTCAAATTTCGTGGTGTGAATTATTTGTGGATAAAACCAGCCTCGACGTCGATGATAATATCACGTAAGCACATTATGTTGGAGTTAATTAGAAGATGTGAAAACTATAACTCATTAACAAGTAACTAATAGCGGTGGAAAGTTTCGTTGGATTTATGCATCCTTTTAAAACATACACTTAAAATTAGAATAAAATGCATTTTTTCCCTCTCTCCTCCTTCAAATACGCATAATATACAATTTCAGGTGACTTATGGCCGAAAACACCGTCTGCTAAATTTTAGAGATAATATTATCCCTTCAAAGCAATATATATATATATATATATATATATATATATATATGTATATGTATGTGATAAATTTACGATAAATTTATCTCTTCCCCTAGAGTTTGTCTCTTCCACTCTACCAAACGCTGCAAAAATGCTCTAACCTGCCAAAATTTAAGATAATCGCTTAATATAATATAATTAAGATAAAAAAGCACGTGAAATGATAATCAAACTCAGGGCAAATGTGCAAACATACATTAAGATCGGTTAGTTTACCTGATTCGGTTCTTGAAGAGAATAAGATGCGTTCGTTTCCTTTGGGAATTTTGAGACAAGAACGCCAAAACCTTGTCCCCGTTCTTGTAAAACCTAGAATCACGCATATGAGCGTCACATTAAACTGTAAAAATTATAACAGAAAATTATAACAGAAACTAAAATAAAAAAGACTGCATATTTTGTACTCTATTTTTTTTTTGTTACATTACCTTGAATGCATCTTCGTCGGTACGATCATCTCCGATGTATATTGGAAAAACATCGTTAGAATTTACGAAACCTACAAATTAAAACATTCGATTAAAATTACACATTGTGGTTGTGGATATGGAGGATCCAAGAAACAGAAGGAAATACCTTATATCAATGTATATGACCAGTTTAGGTCAGTTCATCTCGATTTAATACGTGTTATAAGATGTATAAATATTTATGTGTTAATGTGAAATAATAACGACAAATTTTTTACTGAAATCCCATTTGAAATTTCCAAATTCAATAAGATGTCACACAATGGCATAGCGGTTTTGGCTCACCTAAAGTCTCTAGCAAAAATTCAAGTGCCTTGCCTTTGTCCCATTTGATCGTGGGACGGATTTCAAGTACCTGACATGAATTAACGAATTAATTATGAGGCATGTTAATAATTTATGGATCTAGCAAATAATTACGTATAATCAAATTTTAATTAATATGCATAAGAAAACTAGAAAACGTATAGAAATTAAATTAGTTCTGTTTTTACCTTTCTGCCTTGGGTTAGCCTCAGCTTTGGATAATCATTGAGAACCAATTTTACTTTCTCGGCTAATGCGATCCATCTCTGTCAAACACACGAATAAAACAAAACTTTATTTAAATTATTGTAAATTTTATTTTACATTGTAATTTTAAAAAGGCATAAAAATCGTAGATGGCAATATGCCATATCGAGATGATTTGATATTAATTGCGTCTTTTATATCATTTTACACGTCTATTATAAAGAAATAACGAACGAATTATAAGATATTTTTGTAATAAAAAACAAAACAGTTTCCAAGTAAATCTTTTTAGTTGAATGGAAATGTCGTGCGAAGTGGACATTATTGTATCATAATTAAGATCTTTATTTTTGTTTTTATTTATTTACCTTTTCATCAACGCGGCGGAAATGTACGGATAAGCAAAACTTGTTGTTTTCCACCATAGCCCCTTTGATCGATTTTGTCTTTTCCTTCAGGATTTTGAATACCTGGAATTTTAACCCCACAAAATTACAATTTTTTTTACTGTTTTCCATTCGTCACTGTTTGATATAACACGTCATCTACCAAAGAGACGACACAATTATTTAATAAAAAAACATTTTTTTAGTGAATGGAATGGAATGGACGAACCTCGTCGATCATCGGCAAAAATTCACTCGCGGGTTGAAGCAGCATTCCTTGGTCGCTCTGCAATCAGGAAGAAAAACGATGGAATTCTCTCTCTTTCCGTAGGATTTTCCAGCATTTTCCCGGGAAACAAACAAGCGAGAAGAAAAAGGAGGATACCTTGTTGTAACAATTGGCCTTGGTTGGACCCTTGATGTCCATGCCGTGACTGCCGGCGTAGTAAATTCCGGCGAGTTTCACAAAACTCCGAACCTAAAGAAACCCACACCAAAAAAAAACGTACAAATGATTTCGAAATCCGTGGAACATTACATAAAAAGCTAAAGGAGAAAGAAAAAGGCCAAGCATATAAAAATGTACCTTGTCTACGCATCTTCCGGTGACAATCGCCGTCGGAAAGTATGCAGCAACCTCTCTTACAGCTTCTCGCATCTATAGATTCATATGTAATAAATAATCATTCAAGAACACTTTTTTTTTTAAAGAGAGAATTTGATGGAACAGAGAAGAAAGGAACACAAAAAAACCTCATCGGACATGTAAGCTTTGTCGGGATCTTCAACGATCGGAGAAAGAGTTCCGTCGTAGTCAAGAAACATTACGATCTTTTTCCCTTTCGCACGACTCATAATCTCGTTAAACCTATTCAAAGCCGATGGAAAACGAACCTATACACAAGTCCAGAAAAAAAAAAAGAGAGGGGAAACCAAGATCAGATTCAAGTTCCAGTAATGCCCTTGCTGCCATGCTTTATGGGTCATCTCTTTAGGGCAAGAACATCATCAACATACGTACCATCCATGAGATTTTCTCATCGTTTTCAGAGACAGAACCCGAGGATCTGAGACGGGTCGGCGATGAAGCACGCAATGAATCGACCCAAGATGCGATTTTGGCGGCACCCAACTTGTTATTATCGGATTCAATACGTTTAAGGAACTTTATACGTGGCTTAATGCTGAAGTAACTTGGAGGTGAAGGCAACAGCTTCTCCGGAAACAGAGGAGTGTCTGAAACAGAGACTGTGATTTTCATGCCCGTAACCGGTTTCCGGTCCGACACGACCACTTTCCGGTTCGTCATTCTCTTTGGAAACCGAACTAAAAAGAGAAGAAGAAGGGTTTTAGATCGAGAAACAGAGAAGTGAGTCAGGGCTTTCAGGGAGACAGAGGAAGGTGAGGAGAAGAGTGGGGAGTGGTTGAGGGAGAAAATGGAAGGAGGAGATGTGAATTTATAGAGAAGGTGATGGTGGAAGCAGAAGCAGAAGCAGCACTACGCGACAAAACTAAACCATTGTTTCATTGGGTGTCTCTTCTATACTTTTTGGGCACATTATATGATTCACTTTTTTCTTCCACCTTGATTTGATTTGAGAAACAAAACTAATACATGAAATTACATTTCTTAATTCTGCAATTCAAACTAAATTCCGTACCAATAATTAAAAAAATGAATTGATGTGGGTATCTAGCTATACTGTTTCGGATTTTTAATATATAATTCTTTTCAGCATTTTTTTCCCTAATTAATAGTGATAGTAAAAGTGCATTCACATTTGTATGTGTTATGCACTTATATATACATGATACATGGATAATTTTATATTGTCGTCTTCAACCATTTTATATGTTTACTGAAGTGTTTGTTTATGATTCACATGGTATATGTACGCATACGCATGTGTATATATATATACATGGTGTAAATCTCATAACCTGTTGGGGTTAATATACTCTTTCATGGTATATATTGCTCGTCCCTATAATGAAAAAAATATATATTTCAAAGGGAATATAATGATCAAGAGAATGAATCACATCTCGACATGATCTTGACAAACCACATTTACATATATTCGGTTCTTATTCTCCGAATAAATAAAGAAAATAAAACTTTCTTTACCGAAATGTACGTGTGTTTTTTTAATAGGTTTAAATTCCTTTCTGACGATTTTGATATATATATATTAATGTACAAAATAAAATTTTCTACCTCCATCAGACGTGGCAAAACAAACAAGGTACATATATACACTCGGATATATTGGCTGCCGCAGTCCAATTCTATAAAATATTCACAGTAAATGCAATTTCACGACACTAAAATTTCAAATGCATTAATGGTACACGTAACCGTTTGGTTGCAAATGGAGAGTTTTTGGTTTGGTACATAACTATTTATTGACGTATTGAAACCGCATTTAGACCTAAATTTCGGCTAAAAAATGGGAAGAATAGTATAGTCGTGACAGCCCATTGGAACGAAACATTAGAACCCGAAATCTATCGAACTCGGTGTGTTGTATTCCATCGAAACCATTAGCTATTATATACATAACTCTTTTGGTTAATTTTGTCTTGTAATAAAAATCTAAACACAAATCCTACGTGTCTCCCCTGTCTCTTTTCCATTTATTTATTATATATTTTGCATGGCTTTGTCCGCATTACAAGGCGTACGACTCCTCGTGTCCTTTTTTAAAATATGAATTTGCCGATGGGCTCGTTACAAAATTTATCATAAATTGGTTTTAAATTGGTATTTGAATAATTAGACAACGACAACATGGGTCAACATTCTTGACTTTGGTTACTTGAGTATCCACAAAGGACACGAATGAAAAACAACCCTTTAAACCTCTTGTCCCACGGGGACCATCACTTTGCTGTTTCTTTAATCGGTTTTTAAATTCCATCCTTGTATTCTACTTATTATACATTCACACGATACACACATTCACATCTATTGTGTGTGTGTATATATATATATGTGTTAGACGTTATGATTTGAATTGTATTATTCTTATTGACGGCGGTTAGATAATAAAATGTTAAATTCTGTGAAGTTGAATTCTTGAACGCCCACAAGATGACCGATCGACCAAAATCGATAAGTATAATTTGATGCCAAAATATTTTCCAAATCGACAAGATTGAGAGAATAATTGGCATCAAAGATCTGGTAATGATTTAGTTACGTAACTTATATATTTGATTGCCAATGTATATATATTCGGCGGCCAAAAAAGGCACATATATATTCGTTTTCAAAAGTTAAAATTCGTGTTCGAGAAGTAAATGGGAACACGTGAAGTGAGCTCACTGACTTCTCATCCATGTTTTAATTGCTAGATTTTGTATTGATCATATTTCTAATGATGAAATATTTGACCGACTTCGGCACGCACATTACTTTGCAAGTAATAACCATATGTTTTTTTTCAATAAAAAATAATAATTTTTGAATATACATATATATATATATATATATATATAGTACGCGTTTAATGTCGACGATTTAAAAGAAAATGGTAGATGAGTTCCGTGATGTGACATTGTCGACCAGCCCATCGAAACTGTAATAAACGATTTTGATTAACTTTTGGAAATGCATGCTTTATTTGCTGCCTAACTCATTTTAAACTTCATTAATGAGGAAAACCCCCTAAAATTGAAACTTATTAAACCCGCCATAAAAGTCAGAGTATCTTCCTTAACAAGAAAGTTATTCGAAGGCCTATTTGATCGGGGGAGCCTTAACCATAACCTCGTTAATCAATAGATTATTTAATTAAATAATTAAAAAAATCAAGATTAACTTTTGGAAATGCATGCTTTATTTGCTGCCTAACTCATTTTAAACTTCATTAATGAGGAAAACCCCCTAAAATTGAAACTTATTAAACCCGCCATAAAAGTCACATGCTAAGCATATTTACCAAATTCTTGATGCATCTTTCCTTTTTTTTCCATTTTATTTTAAAATATTCTATCGTTATCTTTTGAAAGATGGAAATTATATTTTGTTATTTTGATTATAATAAATAGAGATACCGAGTGATTTAAGAAAAACAATTAGAAATAATTTGTTCTAGAAAAATGAGGGGGAAAAAAGAGTTTAACGAGGTTATGGTTAAGGCTCCCCCGATCAAATAGGCCTTCGAATAACTTTCTTGTTAAGGAAGATACTCTTTTTTCCCCCTCATTTTTCTAGAACAAATTATTTCTAATTGTTTTTCTTAAATCACTCGGTATCTCTATTTATTATAATCAAAATAACAAAATATAATTTCCATCTTTCAAAAGATAACGATAGAATATTTTAAAATAAAATGGAAAAAAAAGGAAAGATGCATCAAGAATTTGGTAAATTGCCTAAACTTTTTATACGTTGGAGGGATCTATCAATTAAGCCTAATAATAAAATGCACCACTGCATTTATTTTTTGGCACTCATAAACACCTTTAGTATCTGAATTTTCATCTTTTCCAACTGACATAATTTAAATTAGATCTCGATAACAAGATTAGTTATAACATTGTGTTTGTCATTCAACAATAAACTTATTATTATTATTTTTTTAAGAAAATAAACTTCTTATTATTTTTTTACTAATCTTGTTTCCTACCATCCAAATTCATTTTAATCTCTTTCAGAGTGATCGATATGTTATTTTGTATATTGGAATCAGATTAAAATTCATTTTGAATTAAATAATTCAATTTACTACGGTAGATTTCTAATTTCTGATGATATTTGGCATTCTTATATATTTTTGTCACTATTATTTCTGAATTATAAAATAAAATAATCAATTAGTTGCGCAAATCTAATATTCCATTCCATGCATGCGCATGGAGGCACTTCCTTCCCTCAAACCGTGTCTTCGTGGCTCTGTATTATTCGTCCACTTGCACCAATCACATTTTCGCTTTATATGCCTTGTTACTTTATTTTTAAAATGCCATTTGTTTATTCTAAAGTTTTAAATAATCAATTAAATTCTAATCTTCTTCTGTTTTGTTTTATTATTTCATTTTTTGTTCCTCTGCCAATTCAAGGGATGATTGAAGTCCCGAAGCTCAAATCAATATTTGGTCCCTTGGACACGACATTGGGCCATATCTTCACCTGCCCTTTTTTTCCCCTTCTCCGCTGTGATTTTGCTGTTGTCCTTTTCCGGCTGCATGTATTATTCGTAAAATTTCTTTATGATTATTATGGATGGAAATTTTGGGTTTTGGTTGAGTTATTTTTTAGTTTGAGTTAAAAAGTAAAACTATACCCACTCGACTTTTATCTTGGGTTTAGTTCGATTATTATTTTTTAACTCGGTTTTTATTTATAAAGAAAATGTAATTTTTGAAGAAATTTTCTTTCTCTGGATTATTTTATATTTGATTCAAGGTTTGTTTTATTCGAATTTTTCGGTTTTAGAAAATTTATACTCATTTGATATTTTTATATCAAATTTGACGTGGATAAAATCATGTGTTATTTAGCATGATTTTTGTTTAAGGAACCAAGTTAGAGTATGTTTAGTATTTCCCCCCATTGAGTATTAATTTAAATCAAGTGGAATTTTTCCTTTTATTGGTCAACAAACTTCCATATATACAGAACGTATAAAAACATCATTCTATTTAAACCACTTGAGAACTTCGATTTGTGCACTCAGCATCGCGCTGTGATGCAATATATGTGCTAATGCTATTGCTAAACCATATTATAAATCTCTAGAACTTTCCTACGTGTCCGAGACTTTGCACTATATAATCCATGGGCCAATGAACATATTTAATGTTGACTGCATGTGTATAATTATAAACATATTTAGGGGGTATAACGGCTGCGTGTGTATATACATTCAATGTACTAACTGTGGATGTCTTTATGTAATTTTAATGGTGAATAGGCGTGGCACGGAATACAATATCGATTAATTAAAACCCTAATGGTTTTGCCATGTGGAGACATGTCTTTTTTGATTCCGCAGAAAGATGGATGAAAGGTATACTTAACTATTGAGTTAGGTCTCCGATCGGCCTCCCCAACTTCTGACTTAACCTATTTAACCAATTTATTTGGTTTATCGTATTGTTAATCATGTGTTAAAAATCAATTCCTTTATAAAGTTTTGATGGTTATAAATATAATGTACATAGAACGGAGAGAAAACAAAAAATAATTTGAGATCACATTTTTTTTCTTGTATGCAATTTAATTTGAAGTAAAAATTTTGAACTCATCAAATATTGAAAGATGCAAACAAAAATATATAACAGAAAAATAAAATTATATAATCCGATACAAATCAAATAATATACCAAAATGATATAATGTAAACCAATTTTATATTATCGGATGCAAAATCGGTCAAGATCAACCAACAAACATAAACCGGAGTATACACATGTCAATTAATAATAAAATTCATGCCCGCTTAATATATAGAAGTAGCATAACTTACACTGAAAATATTGAAAAAATATTTTACATTCCTATAGAAATCACAGAAAAGAAATAAATGGAAAAAAAATTAGATAAACCCTAGAAATCCGAGTATAAACAAAATGTCCAATTATATATATATATATATATATATAAGTGTGTGTATATATATATATATATATATATATAAAGTCTGAAGTCTAATCTCTCACCTTAAAATGAGAAGTTCACAAAAAAAAAAACATGGGAGTTACGAAAGAACATAATATATTCTACATTACAAATTTACAATTACAGCGAGATCTTGCATTTCCAAGGAGGAAGTATTTTATTTTATTTTATGGAGAATATCCCCTAGAAATTGTACTTTGAGATCTTCCTTTATTTGGAGGAGGCATAAAAAATGTTATCTCGGTTTCCCAATAAGATGTGATAATTGCTTTATTCTTTACCCATTTTCAATTTAATTGGTGGATACATTTGTCCATTATATACCCCTTTTTGTCATATTCATCTAATTTTCTATAATATAGATCGAATTTCCAAATCACGTACTAATATTAATTACCATGGAGGTTGCATAAATAATCATAAAGTTATTTTTTCCTTGACTTCTCGTAGATGCATTCCATCTTTTATAATACTAAAAGGGGGGGGTGATTAAATACCAGTTATTAGTAATTACAATTCCATGCAACGCATATTTACTTAAACGAGTTTGATACTGTAAATAATTTGATAATAAACGGAAATATTTACTCTTAAAACAGTAAAACTTTCCAAAAACGGAAAGAAAAAAAATCTATGTGAAGCTGTAGAGACAACATTTTTTAAGGAAACCAACCGAAATAAACTAAACTAAGACTTTCGGTTGCAGTTTTTTGGTGGGCCTTACAACGACTGATTATTAATATTAATATTAATATTACTATGAACTAAAACTGGATTTCTTGGACAATTATTATTATTATTTTATGTCGTTATTATTCTTTTTTAATGATGGGACGTGAAATATCGGCCTGGTAATGCTCATTAGGGGCCCACAACAACTGCCCATAGTGCAAAGCCCACTAAGAGAGCCCACTTTATCGCTCCATATATAATATGTATGGGTGTATGTATAGTGTGCTCTCTGTTTGATATTTTAAGAGTTATATTTCGTTTCTTAGACGGAAAATTCGCAGAATGTGACTAAATACGCTTACAACTAAGTAAGAATATTTTCTCTGATATATTAGATTGAACTGTCGAAAAAACAAATAAAGATATTAGATCCGATCTGTCCTTTCAGGAGAATTTATAAAATACTGAAATAAATATGCGTGCGTGTGTGTGTGTTATATGCTTTTAACGATACCATAATATATATTATATAGTTCACACACACACACACACACACATATATATATATATTCGAATTATTTCGAATCTAAAGTTCACCCTAAACTAATTGTTTTATTCTCCAAATCAAGAAGTTAATCATTCGTTCCTTTGAAAATTCAAAAGTATGATTACCATTCATAATCAGAGACTTCAAATCTTCTGAACACTCAAGTTGCTTTTGATTCCTTTCATTGAAGAAGTAACACTTGTAAATTATTACAGACTTTTGTAAAAAAATTTTCATTAGAGCATATTGCATTTTCTGACTGATTTTGTTTTCCACGCTGAAGTGGAAAATCTAATAAATGCCATGTGAAATTGATTAATGAATTATGTAAACTCTTCTATAATTGCAACCCAGAAAGTTCATCATCTCAATGGTATACTTTGGCATTATAAAAAAAAATAATACCGGTTCATTAAATTAAAACATGGAATCCTAGCTTTATAGTTAAGAAAAAACGATGCACAGAAAATAAGATTCGTCTTTGGAATGACTTGCTCACGGTCTCAAGATTAGTTTGGACTTTCGACCCACCCGATTACCAAAAAAAGATTCGTCACCTTTGGGACAAAATGATGGATATAAAGCTTATGTCCCACGAGGGGATAAAAGAATATCATGCTCGGCTATCGGCTAAGGTATCCTATGACAATTTTTCTGCATAGGCGAATAAGAATATTCATAATAAGCACCGAATCAAACCTTATCTCTCATTCTTCATGAAACGTGATGAACAATATATATATATATATATAGTTTTATATAAACATTTATTTAGTAATTGTCTTTAAATTGTTTACACGTTTCTAGTAATTGTCTTTTTTATTCTTTTTACTCTTTCCACCTCCACGATAATTCCATTTTTCTGTTTAAAACTTTTCTAATTTTCTTGCATATACATTTTTATTTTTATTTCCCCATTTTCCCGTTTCATCTTCTTGTTCAAAGACGAGCTTTTTGAATAAATATTTAATTGCAGAAAATATTGTCCCCGTGTTGGATTAGGCCAGTGCCCAAAAAGCCCACATTGATACGCCCGAATGTCAATATTTGATTTGGGCCGATAAGCAGATGAAACCGAAACTAGATGGATAATCCGTCATGGATTTGCTTACTTTGCAAGTAATAACCATATGTTTTTTTTCAATAAAAAATAATAATTTTTGAATATACATATATATATATATATATATATATAGTACGCGTTTAATGTCGACGATTTAAAAGAAAATGGTAGATGAGTTCCGTGATGTGACATTGTCGACCAGCCCATCGAAACTGTAATAAACGATTTTTCCTCCGTTCTTTTTTATTTGTTATAGAATTCTTCACCAAAGACTAATCAAGTATGGCTTGAGCTAATGTAGAAACAAATCGTTATTAGAGTTTAATTAACAGTCTCTTGAATAAATTATTCTATGATAGCCCTCTAATCGTATTTCATAGATATTTAAAATCTCACTCTCACTCTCTCGTTTCTTCCCTCTCCCCAAAGCCAATTCCCTTCTCCAATGGCGAAGCTCCTTACAGTGATTCCCCTCTTCCTCCTTATCCTTCTCATCCGCCGCAGCGCCGTCGCAGCTCCGCCTCCGCATGCGTGTCATCCGTCCGACCCATCGACGAAGACTTTCCAGTTCTGCCGGACCGACATTCCCATAAGCCGCAGGGCTGGGGATCTGGTGTCGAGACTAACCCTAGATGAGAAGATATCGCAGCTGGTGAACTCGGCGGAGGCGATTCCGAGACTCGGTATTCCGGCGTACGAGTGGTGGTCGGAGGCTCTTCACGGCGTCGCCGACGCCGGAAAAGGAATCCGATTAAACGGCACTGTATCGGCGGCGACGAGCTTTCCTCAAGTTATCCTCACCGCCGCTTCCTTCGACTCCTATCTGTGGTATCGCATAGCCAATGTGAGTTCTTCTTTTTCGCTTTTCAACCTTTTTTTCTCCTTTTCTTTTGTTCTGTGTACTTTTTCCTTGTAAAATTACTCGTTTGAATTGCAAAATGTTGATGTTTAAGGAGAGAGAGAGAGAGAGACAGAGAGGAGTTCATAGAAAAGGTTTCCTCCTGTTTAAACTTCATGGGTTTCTTCTGTTTTAACCCAAAAATCTTCTTTCTTTGGGGAATTTTTGGTGGGACAATGCTAGCAGATAGGTCTGGGACATTACCAGTCAGCAGCGCCATTGATTGATTACCTTTAAATCAAAACTCAGATTCTGATCCAGTAGAACTACTTCAGTGATTTACTCCAGAAAATGTACTTGTGTTGTAGGAGAGATTACTTATACAAGTCTCTTAATCTTGATATATGATCACACAAGAATGTAGTAGTTCATCTTGTTGTTTCTGGTACAACAGGTGATTGGAAAGGAGGCATTATTTTATCAATTGATAAAAAAAATTATATCTTCATCTTCAATCAATAATTTCAATTAAAAAATCTTCGTCAAACTAATCAACTATTACAAAATAAACTTATAATCTTAATTTTTTTATTTTTTTAAAAAAAATATTAAACAAATATACTTAATTAATGATCTTATTAAACAAATCTTATAAACCCCTAAAAGGATATGTTTTTTAAAAAATATAGTCGGCGCTCGCATGTTGAAGTGGGCCTAGCAATTTATGCTGGAGTCTGCATCCTTTATGTGGGCCGAAAGTTGGGCCTGCTTTGTAAATGGGCCTAAGATTCTAACACGTGTTGGGCATACGGTGTTCGTCTTTGAATTCTCTGCTCGCATGTTGAAGTGGGCCTAGCAATTTATGCTGGAGTCTGCATCCGTTAAGTGGGCCGAAAGTTGGGCCTGCTTTGTAAATGGGCCTAAGAAAGTGATTCTAACACGTGTTACTTGGGCATACGGTGTTCGTCTTTGAATTCTCTGCTCGCATGTTAAAGTGGGCCTAGCAATTTATGCTGGAGTGTGCATCCGTTAAGTGGGCCGAAAGTTGGGCCTTCTTTGTAAATGGGCCTAAGAAAGTGATTCTAACACGTGTTGGGCATACGGTGTTCGTCTTTGAATTCTCTGCTCGCGTTTCACCATCTGTCATACATTCAACACTTCAGTTACGTTTGCAACTTGTCCGCATCAATACAAAGCAATTAATTACCCCAAATCCACAATAATTAATTACTTTCTTCAAATGTTACATGTGCCAGAACGTAACGGTTATAGCAATAAATATTATTTCTTTCTTATTTTTTTTTTGTAAAAAAACTTCTTTTTCAAGTTTGAAATATATGCTAATGAATATGATAAATATTACCTCATTTGGCAGTAATTACATACCATTGGTAATTATTATTATTTCTTTCTTTTTCCATTGTAATTCTTATCTCTTAGTGTGAAAAGAAAAGATTCCTACTAAAACATTCAATGTATTTTTATAAATCATTGGAAGAATATAAATTTATTGCTAATGAGCTATAACAAGTAAAAAATATGCAAATTTTTTTTATAAGAATTTATTACATTGAACATAGTCATGTTTTAAACTGCATAAAATGTAAATATTATATTCTACTATATATATTTAGATTGTCATGAATATTTTATACTGTAACAAGCTGTTATCATACACATACACAATCAATTTTTGTTGTCATTGCCCGTTACATCGTGAGTAAGTTGTACATACCATATATATGATTTACTTTCATCGATTTATTACATACACAAATACATATGCAAAAATATATATATATATTCAATTAATTTTGCTCATATTACACTAAATCATTTAATTAATAATTAAAAATAGATATTATTCTTTAACAAAAAATAGATATTATTGTACATGCATGCACCCAAGACTAATGGTGGACCCATCTTTACACCTATAAAAGGACAGGCTTGCGATGCACTTTGACACCACATCACAACGTAGTGTAGTAAACGATGTCGTTTAACAAAAACAAGGTTCTTGTAGTACTGTCTTTGGATTCGAAAGACATCAGAGCCACACGGATGCTTAGTTCCTCCCTCGGAATCGCCAAGTAAAGGTATATCTATCCTCCTTCCTTCCTTAATCTATTAGGTTTCCTGTACAGAGGGTCGAAATCAATATGAATTATGAACTATTAAGATGCTTAGTAAATATAAAATGACTACGATTTCTTTTGCATACAGGAAGCCGTTGGTGTTGAGGCAAGAAGGGTATGTAAAGGGTGGAAAATCAATGGTATACGAATACCAATAGTAAGTATATACGGTCCAAAAATGCAGTGTATGATCCAATACATGAAGGCTCATGGTCTTATCCTATATGGAAATTCCGAAACACAAAAGAAACCCGAGAGTTCTTTACCTTTTACCAAACAGCCTCAGATGAGGATCGACGGGCAGACCAACGCCTTCGTATATTGGATCATATACTGCATTTTGCGTTGGCCTGAAACACAATATTAAACCATGTTTTAGTTCGAGCTTTGTAACGATGCAGGCTGTATAATGAAATACGAATGGATTATCGTCCAAGAAACCGAACCTGTCGTCGAAAGGATTGGTCGGACCGAAGCTATCATCTTGAGGTCGAGATGCCACGGGTAGTTCTGCTCCTCTTGAGCTTTCTCCTTGCGAGACCATCCTCTGCGTCGTCAGATTCTTATATTATAGTTGTTCCTGATCGGACATAATAATTTTTGTGTGGAGAAAATTACCCTTCGTCTCGATGATTCTCCTTGCTCAAATTGATCCTTGTAACCTCGTTGTCCTCCGAGGATTCCTCTCTGCATTAAAAAAAATATATATATATATATGTGCAGATTAGATGTAAACATTATAAGAAATTGTAAAAAAGTCCAAAGTAATAATAATAAGGTTAATTGGATGTTGTCGACTTACATCTCCGTTATTGTTTCTTGATGACGTTTCAACGAGGTGGCCTCCAATTTCCTGTTTCAAGATCATTGTACCAAATCAAAGTCTCGCCAAATGATTTTTCACAAGATGAGAAAAAGAGTTTCACCTGAATATGCGTATATTGTTGTTGGCGGCCAAGTGCAGAATACCGAAAACTCGTCCGAGAAGGCTGATTGATCAGTCCTTGTGTGTTCTGCAACCTAAAATGATGTTCCAAGAAGATTATGAAACATGTTTTTTTTATGTGTATTCCTTAGTTCACCGAGAGAGTTTAGTACCCGGTTGAGGGTAAGAGCGTCTGTGATGATCTCCTCGGCATTGGACCCATCAAGCTAGGTGCTACAGAAGCTTGGATTATCAGTGCACATGTTCTGCATTCGGTGAAATCCATCATCTAACTTTGAATTCAACATAAACATCTGAACTGTATAGTTAATTTGTTTCATGTTTACCTGGGGTTTACAGCTTGCTGTGAATGGCCATGACCATATAAAGAGTGCATCCTCATTGCTCCACTTTTGCAGGATAGGCAAAGAGGAGAAGAGTTATAGTCAGTCAGATTCCCATCAGGGTTTTCTCGATTCTTTCCACGAGAAGAAGAGCTGTGGAGGAGAAGAAGCGTTTTACCTGGTCGACGCTCGGACTGTCCTTAACGCAAGAGGTTCTTGGTTAGGCTGTGAAGACCTGTTAAGAATATGTCAGAAACATATATAGTTGTTTCAACGTTTTGTCGATCCCAAAATCGATTTCAGCCACCTTAGAAATGTCGGACGAGCTGCAAAATCTTGCGGAGGTAATGGAAGGAACCGATCTTGTTGTCTGTATACAAGAAAGTTCGATGTTTCAGTGCGTTCGTTTTACGTGTGACCGATCGGATTTAACAAGAGTAAAAGTGCCTTCCTCTTGCCTGTTGTTTGTAATAAAATCCCCCATCTGGTTAACAGAAGTGTGTAGATTGCTTGACCTTGGAATCCTAATACCAGATAGACACAGATTATGAAACAGTGGTTCCAATGCATGTTTTTGTCTTTGTAAGTGTTGGCATTATGTTTATTCAGGTTTCACATGATGTGTGAAGAGAGCTTTACCGAGTTGCAGGGGGAGACACGTTACGAGGATCCTGCCGTTGCATCTGCATGTCGATACAAGAGTTTAACAACATGATCAGCAATAATAATAATAACAACTCAGTTTTAAACATATCATATGATCTCACCGGATTCCGAGAAGGCGACGGGTCAGCTCCTCTCTGATTATTCGTCGAGAAATTACGAACGAGTTGATCATATACCGTGCTACGCGTATTTTCTTGATGCATCCTGCATCATTAGCAGTGGATTTGATCTTTTTTGTAGTATATAACTAAAAGTCGCCGAGTTTTGATGGTAATAGAGAATGGCCATCCATACGGTGATGGTTGAGGCTGTGCTTGGAAGCTGTTTCGGGATTCAAATGCGTTGAATCGTCGTTTTTGTCGATAATTCCTCATCTGTGTCATCACTACATAGTTCAAGACTCGATCTAACGAAACTTTGTGTGCGAAAATGTACTTGAAAACGATTCATACCATTGTCGTGTCATGTGGATAAGTCGCCATTGTTGGACACATGACAGGTTGTTGTTGTTGTTGCATTTGCTCTGATGGTTGCTGCGGAATCTCCAACTGCTGTGTTGTCTGAAACGGGAAATTAATCAGAAACAATCAAAACTCATTGATCATAGAGATTCTTTTAGCCAAAGTTATCAAATATGTCATTCCTCATACATACCACGTTAGGGTAATCGGAAAACGGATCGTAAGCCTCGGCATCCATGTTTGGATTCTCCGGTGACGTTTGGTTATGCTGTGAAGAGAGACTCGTGTCGCTTAAGACGGGAATATGATAGTTTCCGGTAGGTTTTTCGCTCTCCATTTCCGACACCTTCAATGAACGGTTTTCTTGACAGTCCTGTTTTACAACAAAAAAAAAGCTCAAAGCATGAGAGACTCAAGTTGTTATTATTATTACAAGACAAAAGAACATACAAAACTGAACTCAGTTTCACTAAAGGATCTAGTTTTTCCTTTTCTTTTCCCTTCGCTTTGATTTAGTAAATGCTGCAGCCGATATTGATTCATACGAGCCTTGTCAGAACAGCGATGTGAACGTGAAGGAAACGAGTCAGTTTAAGGGAAAAAACACGATACCATGGTTCAGGGGAAAAAAGGGAGCTCAGGAGAGGGGATGGAGGGCAAAGGAGTGAGGCGGCGCTGCGAGATTTCCGAGGTTTTTGCGAGTGCAAAATGTATTCCCTTTAAGATCCCTTAAATTGGAATTCTGCAGAAATAAGTAAATAAGTTTTGGATTTGATGAGTTGGGAAATACAACCATTCTTGCCCTTTTGAGTAGCATGAAACTCTGGTAAAATCAGCATATATGGATTTCGTCGAATCCATTCATTGCACTTGGAAACGCTTCTCGTCAATCCACACGGCCGAATGTTCCACACGTATGAAAAGAACGGTAAATGCACCGAGATTTTACTGTCAGATTTATATATAAATTGATACACAAGAACGTGTACACATGAACAGACAAACAAGCATATATGTAACGGAAATATCATGTATGGTTATGAATGTCATGCGTGTACAAAATGTCAGACACTTGACATGTAACATAATGTCAAGACACCGTATATGACAACCTCGGACCTCAATATATAATCAGGATGTTTGTTTGGCCACAGTGAGGTTCAAAGTGCAGAATCAATGCCAGGACAAGCGAAATCGTTACAGCTACATAAACTAGAAAAGCTGCCCCAGAGACAAGAAAAAGAAACAGATTTTCCTCCCATGAGCAACATCATAAAGTAATTTGTGTGTTGTGAGAAAGAGAGAGAGAGAGAGAGAGAGAGAGAGAGAGAGAGAGAGAGAGAGAGAGAGAGAGAGAGAGAGAGAGGAGCTGAGATTAGGTATCCCTTCTTTGTTTGAGCTCTTCGACATCATATGTCAAAGCGGACGTGATGCCCGTCGGAGTTGGACGACATCCTTTGTCGCAAACGCATAATAAACGGTGTCGTTTTAGGTTGAATAAAATCCATGTGAAGATTTTCTATAATTCATTAGTATTCATAGGCCCGTGGGCCTTAGATTAGAAGCCCATTGATTATAAAGCCCGCAATCATCACTTTACTGTACAAATCCTGAAACTGAAATTTCTGAAATACCACATAAATATTCAAATTAGTGTAAAAATAATATATGAATTATCTAAAAATTGTAAAATTTATAATCAGTCGTTTGACGGGTCCAGTGGCAAATTATCGGTCGTTGGATTCCTACACTTTTTATTTTAAATTTTTTTCACATTATAATTTTGAATACCAATGTGAAAAATAGATAGTCGATTTAGATAACTAGAAATAAATCAACGTTCGCAAATCAATCATTTATTTGAAGCACGTATATACTCCGATACAGATTCGCCGATGCACATCAACTAAAGGTTGATCTATTATACATCATCCAGAGACATGACCCTGCATATATATATACATATATATGTATATATATGTGTGTATATATTATATATATATAAGTACTTGTACAAGTGTTTAACAGATATCGTGAGACGTAGATGTGGGCCGAACGTAGGAGTCAACGGCTTCTCCTACGGTAAAGAAAATGCTTTGTTTCTGCGTTCTCTCTTCGAATTTTGTCTGCTTCAGTTTGTGAAGCACTCTCCATCTCGGATTTGCTATCACTAACTGCAAAATCATATATATATATATATATATATATATGTATTCAGTTGATCATTCCATTATATGCAAAAATTTTCATGCTTATGACATTCGATAACATTTAAAATAAACTGCAGAAAATTAGTTAAATAATCTATATGTGTATACATATATATTCGAAATAAGCAGTTCTATGTTCATTTGAAAACTATTTTTTGAACTATTAAAAGACAAGAATAACCTTTGAATTAAACGCTAAAATAAAATATATGTCCTAATATAATGGTCAAAACTACTTCGAAAGTTACACAAATGCTATTTTACCAAACAATAATTGAAACTATAATATGTCAATAATTGCGTATTAAAGTTTTTTTTTAATACCTGTATACTTTTGGAAATGAGCCCTTTCTGTATTTGTTCAATTGCAATCAGTCCTGACGTGTCAACGCTCATCACCCCTGCCATTTTATTTTGGATAAAGAAAGAGTCAAGCTTCCGAAACTAAATTTTAATTTTGTTTAATTAATTTATTTATATGCCCAGGAAAAAAAATAAGTTTCAAGAAAATGTCATATTGGAAAAACAAATGAAGGATAGATGCTTACAAGACATATCAATGGTAACAATGACAACAATGCAAGCCCCAACGCGGCTTCTTCCATGGTGGTTCAAGTGAATGCTACAACAGATGACAACAACAAGGTAGGAATGTTTTCGATTTTTCTGAGGTTTATATCTCTTTGGTTTGTGTTGGAATTACTTGTCTCTTGATGGGTAAGAAGCATGTGAAGGCGAATTATGATTTCTCACACAACCAGGTTGAAGCAGAACCTTCAAGCAATGATCAAGATGAAGGCCGGGTCGGTGATAAGGTACACTCGCTATACTCTGTTCTCAATAACTGATCACAATCCAAAGACGGTGGAAGTGAGATCGAACTTTGTTTTCATATGCCTTTTTGGTTAATAACACCACTTGTGTTCCTCATATCTTACCTGTCTATTGAGGGCGTTATCAATTCAACAATTAGTAGGTTTCGGTTCTAAAAGTGAACAAATTGAATCATATATAACCCTTCTCTTATCTTAATCTCTAAGGTGGAAACGTGGCAATTGTTTGTCCATTATATGAATCATATTTTCATACATGCGCAGGCAGAACGTCGTTTGGCTCAGAACCGAGAGGCTGCCCGCAAAAGTCGCCTGAGAAAGAAGGTAACGAAGATTCGACGCATGTGAGGCATCCCTCGGTGGAACTTCTTCTGCTCCTATGTATAATATACAAAAAGCTTATTGCTATGTTGTGTCTATATACCCCTGTAGGCCTATGTCCAGCAGTTAGAAGAAAGCCGGTTGAAGCTATCGCAGCTGGAACAAGAGCTCGAGATGGCCAGACAGCAGGTGAGGTGAAGCTTGTTATCTTTGTTGTAATTTACATGTTTCATAATGACCCAGCGATTGATTTTTCTGGTCAGGGATTATATGTAAACAGCTTTCTTGGACCATCTGGGAACATGAACAGAGGTTGGTGATTTCACATAGAATATCCAATTGAAGAAAATGCTACAGTTAGTCATTTCAGTTTCTGAAATCTCTTACTTCTCCTTTGCACCAAGAATTCATCGCCAATGAATTTTTTCAGGTATTGCTGCGTTCGAGATGGAATATGCACACTGGTTAGATGAACAGAACAGGCGGGTTAGCGAGATCAGAAAAGCGCTCCAAGCTCATATAAGCGACATAGAGCTCCGTATGTTGGTGGATAGTTGCTTGAACCATTACGGAAATCTCTTCCGTATGAAAACCGATGCTGCAAAGGCTGATGTCTTTTACTTGATATCGGGAATGTGGAGAACGTCAATGGAACGGTTCTTGCAATGGATTGGAGGCTTCCGCCCGTCTGAGCTATTAAACGTAATCTTCATATTCACTCAAGGCATTCTTCCACCATTATCTTCCAGTCTTCAAGAAAAGGCACTTCAATGGTGTAAAATGCCCATTTCTTCTGAACAGGTCGTAATGCCTTACCTCGAGCCCTTAACCGATCAGCAAATCTTGGAGGTGCGTAGCTTACGACAATCGTGTCAGCAAGCGGAGGATGCTCTCTCTCAGGGCATAGATAAACTTCAGCAGAGTTTGGCTGAAACCCTAGTTCTTGAACCTGTTGATCCCGCTAATCACGGTGCTCAAATGGCTGCAGCACTGGGAACCCTTCAAGCTTTAGGAGGTTTCGTGAATCAGGTAAACCCTAAAAAGCATCATATTCTTCGCATCCTTACAGTTCAAAAGCATCATATTCTTCGCATCCTTACAGTTCATATCACATTTTCATATGACTCTTCTCTGTATATATATCTCTCTTTTCTCACTGTCTTGAAGAGTATCCATCTCTTCATGTTTCATCCATCGAAGCTTATAGGCATTAAACTGAGGTACAGAACTTGAGAAACGTGAAGATAAAAACAAGAAAGCTCGTCTCTTTATATGTCATGAATAAGCGATCAAAACTCTACTGGAACAGGCTGATCATCTGAGGGAGCAAACCCTTGAGCAAATGGAGAAGACGATGACGACCGGACAAGCAGCTCGCGGTCTTGTCGCTTTGGGCGACCACTTTTATAGGCTTCGTGCTCTCAGCTCTCTCTGGGCAGCTCCTCGTCCACGACAACCCACTTGAAGACGAAGTGTTTTTGTAGAAGAAAATTGTCTTGTGAATTTATTTATTTTTCTTACTATTTTTATTTTAAAAAAAATTATGGGTTTATTGGATTCAGGTGGGAGTGAGACCAATCATGAGATCTGTCACTCTCTCTTGTCTTTATGGTCATAATATGAAACGAGTCTTATTGGGAAGCTACCTAAGCTAGCTGTACTTCATCTTTCTCCGTACCCCTCATTTATTCCCCTTTCTGGCCTCTCCATATATCGTCTGTATGTGTATATGTCTGTTGACTGTGCCCCTACATGTATATACACACACCCTCAATTATATATATATATACACCCAACCATATTTACCCGAGACATGTGATAAATGTTTACATATAATAAAACTATTAAGATACATGCATTCATGTATATGGAAGGCAATATGAAAAGTTATTATTTTTGTCTATAAATGTAAACATCTTATGATATGATATGATAAGATAAGCATATTTTAAGATATTTACGGAATATTAGCTGTTGTGTGTCCGCACCACTTCGAAATAAGTAACAATTATTCCCATATTTTTATCATCTCTTACAAGGTAATTGATCACCTTTCCTTATATATATTTTGGGTCCAAAACTTTCATTCTATCCACTCACCAACTTCATCTTCTCCGATCAAATCTAAGATATTCCAAAAAAAAAAAAATTACTCTACGATTTCAGAGAGAGAGGGAGAACCCTCTAACATTTTATTTTGAGATTCAGCCATTTCTCAATTCTCTGGAATTGAAATATTTTTCTTATGAAGAAGGAAAAATAAGCTAAGAGCTAAATTTAACTAAGAACTGGTCTGATCTCCGGAACTTGCATGCCAAGAAAACAAGACTTCAAACACTTCCCCCCCTGCGATCCTCCGCCGTCGCCCATCTCCGCCGCCGCATGATCAGCCACCGACGGAGACGACATGATACCCCCATCATCACCACAACCTCCGTGGGACCGAACCTCGTCGCCATCCAGGACAACCTCTTCATCATATTCATCGTCATGAGCAACATCATGATGATGATCATCACCGTCATCGTGGACGTCGTCTTCGTCATCGTCATCGTCGTCGTCGAGGGGAACAAGCTGGAGAGTGAGACGACCGTTGGATCTGTGAGCTCGGAAGTACTCGTGGTGACGAACCTTCTCCTCCCGCAATATCAGCCGTCCATCGCTTGTGTAGACACGTGTCAGCACCCACGGCATGTGCGACGGATGATTCCCCGTCCGAGCCAACCCCGAAATCGGCGGCGGAAACTCACGCGCCGCCGCAGACTTCTCCTCCTTTCTCCGGCACGGCGGGGGAATATTCCGGTCCGGACCGACGAAAATGGGGTCGTTCTCGTCGGAGAGGACATCGAAGCAGCTCTCGGTCCCGATGTAGTCTCCGATGGCCGAGGAGGAGGAAGATGACGTCCGCGACAGCATGGATGATGCCATCCCGAGTGTTCGGTCGCTTTCATTGTGACAAACAGCGAGATGCTTGAGACCCATCTGGTCTGAATCCATGAATTCGGAGGAAAATTCTTTCTCCATGGCGTGAAATAAACAGACCGCAAATATTATTTTTTTCTGGTTTTTTTTTCCCTACTTCTCCCCCAATGGAGCTAGAGTTGCATGGGGAGACTTAAATAAGGAGACAGCTAATAGAAGGTGACGTCATGGGGAAGATGGGGAGATATTTTGAGAATCTGAGACATTTAAGCTCTCGACTTAATGTTTCTGCCTGCAAATGGGCAATCAATACATGTAAACTTAGCCTCCGATTTCACGGTCGGAAATACAAATCCAAAGGGTCCTGTAGAAATTAAAATCGCATGCATACAAAATTCTAATGCAAAAGTAACAGTTACCTTATATGATAAGACAATAAAAAAATACCACCAACCCCGAAACCAATATTCATCGTTGAAAAAATTCTCTGTGAACAAATTTGGTTAAATATAATCAACACACAATAACGTAACTTGATTTAAAAAAAAAAAAAACTGATCACGAAGGATTTGTTGAGTTCGTATGTAAATCACATAACATATATATATATATGTCAAAATACTAACCAAATAAGCAAATAAAAAATTTACAATCAAACCCAAAACAGATTGAATGTATTTGCCAACACGATCACGAAATCAATCATACGATAATCAAAATGCGTAATTAAATTAATCAGATGATTTACCTGGATAATAACGATTGGGAGATTGAAGACGAACATTTCGTTATGCGTCTTCTTTGTTCTCTCTCGCTATCTCTTGCTCCCGTAGTCACAACGATGCAAAAGAGATTTGAAATCAATCGGAAACAGAATTACTTGATTAAAAAAAACATAAATTTGATTAGGTTTTTAGAATCTCAAAGGGTGAAGATGAAGAAGAAATGTTGTTTTGGATTCAAGGGGAATAATAAATAAAAAGAAGAAAGGAGAGAAATAAAATGCCCATAATTAGGCGAAGTTGAGGGGATTTATAAGATTAGGATGTTAAACCAAGTCGGTGGAACTGGCTCTTTGCTGTTCATCCTTACCCTTTCCTAATTTCTCGGGGTTTTTTTTATAATAAAATCTCCATTGATTTGGTTTGCTAACGGAAATGAAAAAAAATATATTTTAAAATCACCGAATTTACAGGCAATATTTTTGTTATTTACGATTTGTATATAATTTTTCTTCCTTGTATCACTAAATCACATAATAATCAACGTATGCCTCACTAATTGAAACAGGAAACAAGTTCGGAAACTTTTTAAATTAATTTAATCAATTGTTAAAAGAAACATGACTGATAAACAAATTGGACCGTGGATAAATTAAAAAAAAATGTCTAATAGTCGTTCGTTAACCTTTTAAAAATATCTTCCAATAAATGTTTTCCGTATTAAAACATATGACTTATATATTCGTATCCATTTTTTTCATTGTCACATTAAATTTTGCATATTCTAAAATTCAGATTTTTTTGGATACTTAGATTTAAATTTACATATCCTACCAAGTTCATAACTATACCATATATTGTGATTATATACACTGATTTTGTTTGGGCGAATCGCTCAAATGTGCAAAAACATGTTTATCTTTCCTTTTTTTGGGTACAGTTCCATTAAACAAAAAACTGGCAAAACAAAGAACCTCTGAAGGGTAATGAAGAATTGTGGGTATAACCAAAATTTAGAAAAGCAAAAAGACAAAATGTTGTTGCAAAGGTACACACAACTGAACTAAGTTTGGATTCACTGATCACCGGGGAGTGTCTTGATGATGTCCGAATCACCTGAAACAAAGCACAGTCATATGATAAGTCACCCATAAGCATTATATAGCTTGATCTGAACCGTCAGAGCTCCGCCGACAAAACAGAAGGATATCAATAATGGCGCATTACCCGGGTCGACGATGCTGAGGCAAGATACACGGAAGTACTTCCCGCAAGCTGTACCAAGATCGACGTTATCTGAAACAGATGGAGGGAAGAGTCAGGCAAAGGAGAAGAAAAGGGATGTGCTTGAATTTGATAAGAACAAGATTCCTTGAATTGTAACTTAGGCAATCTCAAGGAATAGCATTGGTCTTTGCCCAATATCAAATGGTACCATGAATCTATTACTAGATTATGAAGTACAAACCCTCAAACAGAAGTAATCAATAGCACGATAAGATCAAAGATGGACATCGGTTTCGACGATTCCGGAGTTCTGATGTATAAAGCACAACAGACAACATCAGCAGAAACAAACCGGTTTTTTCAACATCAGAGGAAGCGCTCGTAAAAATTTCAAGTGACTCGAGGTGATTAATACTAAGAACACAGACATAGGAGACTTGATCTAAGGAGCTGAACAACGACAAGAATAAAACACAGGCCCAAATCCATGGAAAAGCTAATTCAAAGATCACACACTCCATAGATGCCAAATTCAACCTCATCAACCAGATTAAACATACCCACAGTTTTTACAGTTTCTTGTATCTGTATCAGTATGGTATATGCAACCTCATCAACACGATAATACGTACTCAATTTCTACAGCTTCCTGGCATCTGTGATTAGTACGGTATATGCAAACACTAGAACAAGCAACACATGCATTTCCATTACGAATCCAGAAAACCCATGAAGTAAAAAAAAAACAAGAACAAAGTATATAACAGAGTTATTCCCAAACGTCTTCTAAATCTCTAAGAGATACAGAAATGGCATCGAAAGAGGAAACCTTACTTCCATTGTAGTGATGGACACCAATTTTGGCGAGCATAGCGTAGTACTCAATCTCCGACCTCCGCAATGGTGGACAGTTGTTGGAGATAAGTATCAATTTCCCTATCACATCACGAAATTACCCAATTTTTTTTTAAAACAAAGAAGAGAAAGCATTCGAATTCAAAGATGGTTCGAGAGAAATCACCCTTTGAGCAGCGGAGAGTTTTGAGGACAGACTTGTACCCGAGAGTGTACTTGCCACTCTTCATTACAAGAGCCAATCTGCTGTTAATTCCCTCATGGGACTTCTTCTGCAATTACCCACAAAAAAAGAAGGAGAAATCTTTCGGTGAGTAATCGGAGATGGAAGAAACCCCAAAAGATGAAAAGGGGAAAACTTTGAATTTGGGCATGGAGAAGTACCGTCTTCTTGGCCGCCACCATTGTAGCCGGAGATGAAGCCGAGGCCAACGAAATGCGAAGAAGAAGAAGAAGAAACACCCAAAGAGGCAGAGCGCCGCCGGCTGGGTCCTCGAGCTTTTATATACAGAGACGTCTGTATCGTTTTAGGGTTTCTGCTTTATGATGAATATTCACTTTTCCTGAATTTCCAGTTCTACCCATCCTCTGTATTCATAGTTTTACATATTTATTATTTTCGATGAAAATCTAAAAATACACAAAACAAAATCGAATATAGATTACAATAAAAATATTGAACTAAAAATCTTTTCATATTAATAAAGAGGCATAATTAGATAAATATGTT